TTCATGTATGACAAGAGGATATATATGTGTATGTGTGTGTATGTATGTATATATAGTGAGTGATGTGGTGATGTGATTTATATGGCTTATTACGTATGTGATAATATATTTTGAACATATAAGTCTGTAATGAATAACTAAATAGATATTGTAAGCTCATTATGCATGCGGAGCTAACCTTTAAGTGCCTGTTGCAATAAGTCGGAAAAAAAATAAGAATTAATGTTATCAATAGTATGTATCATTGTAAACAGATGTTGGTTAGTCAAATAAATAAAAAAAAAGGGGCTTTTTTTGGCGGTGAACGCGCAAACCTGTGTCTTAGTAGGGTTGAAGTGGACCAAATTAAGTCGACCCCAGTTAGAGACTTCCTCTAACGAAGATTCAATATCAGACACAAGTTGATTCCGGCTCTCAACGACGCTTTCCCGAGAAATATTAGCACGACCGTTATAGGTGGAGTCCTTCGTGCTGTTATCCGCATAACAATGAATACCGCTAATTTGCAGCATGTCATTAATATGCAGAGAAAAAGTGTAGGTGATAGCACACATCCTTGGGGAACACCAGCATTTATAGACAGTAGGTCGGAGCATTCACCGTCGACTAAAACCTTAATGCTTCTCTCTGCCAAAAAACGAGTGACCCATGCACATAATTTCTCGGGAAGCCCATACGAGGGAGTTTTGATAGAAGAGCTTTATGCCACACGCGATCGAAGGCTTCGTATTTTGTTTCCACGCAATTGTTTTAGAATTTTCTGTTTAAATGCATTTTAAATAAGTAACCAAACCCTTACTTAGTGTTGTTATGTTAATGGATGATGTATTAGTTTAACTACTTTAATAAATGATCGTGTTATTTGATCCATTTAGTTACATTTTTTTGGAAACTGTCTATTAGAAATAATGTAGTAACGTAATGTAAATCGGTTAATATTAGAATAATCTTTTTACAATGATTTATTAAATGTTAGTCTATTAATTAATTTCAGCATTTTAACTGATTCCTTTAGAGATAGCCAGTTTGAAATTGTTAAAGAACAGTTAACTAACATTACTTAGTTTTAGTTTGCGATTTTAGTTTTTTGATGATCATTTGATAGCAGTTTGATAAAACGGACTATTTGACTTGTGAAATTAAAAAAAAAGTAGGTTATTGAGAATAATCAGTAGAGATTTTCTACTTTTTTCAAATCAGAAACCGGCTGTTAGTCGGTTAATTGATTTAAGCATTTTGACTGCCTTGTTTAGTGATTGTCTGGTAGAATTTGCATGAAAGCAGTCTTATAAATCATAAACTAGTTTATTTCGTTTTTAGAAACGAAGAAGTCAATGACCGATTAAAAACTTGTTCCTTAGTACGTCCCAAAAACAGCTGACTCAGGGTTGAAAACACTCATTTTTTCCAAAAACTTTGTAATTTAATATCTCCGAAACTATTTGACCTAGATATATAATTTATTTTACATCATATTTAAGACAAATAGTGCTCTCCAGAAACCTCGGGAGTGTCGGGCGTTCTGTTCCACCGAGTATAAGATCATGATTAGATTAGATGGCTGTTGACATTGTGTTCCAAAACTGATCCTACATTAACTTTTGGTTAAAATACATTACGTTGGGTGCATATAAGGCTTTGTTGATCGAAGAAATAAGGTCGCTTCGTAATAAGAGGGTTAAATACTGAACAAATTTTGTTCAAATTATTCTCTCAGCGCAATTTAAATTTACCTACAATATGTGGACGTGAAATCAAAATGAAAACAACATTTAGTAACATATCTTTGTTTTATTTCTGTACACACTCACGTACACATAACAACTAACAATTTACGATAGAATAATCATAGGATTTGTACAGTCATCAGAAGCCCTAGCACAAATAACTTGCAATAGCAATAAGTAGGTAATTTTTTTAACGTAGTTTACGCAATATCTACAATCAAGTAGATAGCAGAGAATATAAATGCAAAACTGAATAACGTCATCTAAGCTATCAATTGATATACATAATGGAGACGAAAATGAAGGTAGTGTTTTCTTAGATGTTTTTCCCCTAGTTTTTCTTTAGAGGAGGCATATTATATTGTAATGTAACAAAAAGGACCTTTTGCATACCATTCATTCTGAAATGACAATATATAATCATAGTAGAAATTAAATTCGGGACCGATTATCAAATCAAAGTCCAGTGGAGTCATTTATCATATCGCTATTCGTGCTTAGGGCCCAGAACTTTTAACATTAGAGTTAATGTAATATCACAGTTGATTTTTCATAAAATTACTCATCTAAAACTATTTAGGAATAAAATGCTAGCCAGATACAATTTTACTTCTAGTTTGATGCCTACTTCTAACATTAAACACTATTTAGCAGTCTTGGTATAATTTAATAACATGCTCACACTAACATAACGTAGTCAGTCGAATATTTTAAAAAAGTAATTAATTATACAGAACAAGTTAATGTTCAATTAACAAAATACCACAGAGCATTACGTCGAATTGCTTTAAAACTTGTAAAAGTATCTATCACTATCAAAACAATTTGATAGTGTAATGGATTGAAAATATGGATAAAATCCCCAGTCTTTCTCACATCGCAAGCAATTCTATGATAGTATAATCTTCATTTAAGACAATGGGAAATAGGAAGATTAAGCGAAACAAATGGCTATAATGAATTATGACCATTAATTATGGCTGACTCTTCTTCCTTATATTAAAAAATCAATTTTTATTAATAAATGAAAAGAAGCTTGATGGATCCATTCAGAAGAGGACTAAACTATGACCAACATCCGTTTCCTATATTTGCTCAAAACTGAAATAATTTTTAACATTCACAAAAATTAGGTTCAAAGTAATTTAGGAAATTTCTTTTGTACCTTAAACTATTAATAAACAAACAATCATTAAGATTCTAATATCAATGATTGTTCGTTTTCAATCATAATATTTTGCAACGCGTCAGTATACTGTTGACGATCTTCATTTGTTGCGTCAGCGATAGATTTAACAATTGCTGCACCTACATCTGCTAAAGAATTATATGTTTCTTCAGATGATTCTGGTTTCAATATCTGAAACAAAAATTTTAATATGAAAATTAAGATTTTCAATCTCTTATTTAGGTACCTAACAAAAACTGTACATTCAAGAGTACTTTAAAATTGTTTCGTAAGAACATCATCTAAAACTTTTGAAGTAGAAACAGTAGCTAGAAAGTGGTTCTGCCTGTAACGGCCGACCTCCGCCTCCTGCTTGTTTAAGGACTTTTTGTTTGATAGTCACAGACAATAATATCTATGCCATATGGTGGCTGCAGAAAGTTCATCAACTTGATGCAAATGCTCATGTAAGAGTCTTAAAGTGAAGGTAATTCAGGTTTCGGTAATATGGCACTTTTAGTGTTTCAGAGTACCTGAGTAATATAAATAAATGTCTTATATTAAATTTGAAGGGTTTGTAAATTCTGTAATCATCTTGACTTAAGTACTTACTTTTGATGATGGGTTTATCAACATCACTTAAGTTCAAGGACTACCAAACCTTTATTGTCATTTTAGACATTAAAATTCTCTCGCAACCGCGCGAATTCACGCAATTAGGACGGCGCCTAATAAAAAAACCAGCTGGGCTTGAACCACGCACTCTGACTAAAGCCTGTTGAAAAAACTAACTAAAACGCTTTTTAAGCTCAATAAAATAAACATACGTGCATTTATACGAGATTTAAAATGAATTATAAGCGAAGCGACCACGTTTCGCTTATAATTCATTTTAAATCTACTCACAGACTGTGAGCAGGTCAGGGGAGCAATACCTAAGGTAGAGTAGTAGCTAGAATAGGAGTAGTAGCTAGAATAGGAGTAGTAGCTAGAATAGGAGTAGTAGCTAGACTATGAGTAGTAGCTAGACTATGAGTAGTAGCTAGACTAGGAGTAGTAGCTAAACTAGTAGGGCTAGACCCGCGGATATCGCTACCCGATAAATGATGTAAACTACCTAGACATACACTAAGATTTATTGTGGATATTCTCACAGAATACTGACACTAACAAACATCTTGTCTATCTAGGCATCTCTGACAGTCCACTGTGCAGGGCCTGTCTGGAGGCTCATGTTCTGCTGCACTGCGCAGGAGTGGCGAGACAACGGACTGCGCACCTGGGAAACCCAAAGGCACAACTGTACATATGCAAGTTCATCTAGAGACTACAATTCTCCTTGTGGGAACTAGGATGGCAGAAAACGCTAAAAACAGGCACATGGTGTCGAGTTGCGGAAACATCCCTCCATCAAGAAGAAGCGAAGCGTATATCAGGGGCGACGTATTATCAATCTAGAAGATATAGAAGCTCTGAAAGCCAGAGACATCATAGACTTCTTAGCGGCTACCAGGCTAAAGCTACCAGCGTGTCACAATAAAATTTTAAGGTAGCAGTGGCTACAGTTCCATGAGGAACTACATAGCTCCTAAAAACTAATAATAATAAGCATATTGATTGCTTCAAAAAATGAAGTTGTAAACATTTTCTCTATAGTAAAAATAATAAAGTTACTTCTAAAATTTATCATTAATTTATTTTCGTTATCACTACTCCTTCACTGTTGTAATAATTAATAATATGTGAGTCACTTTGTAGACGTGGATTAGGATTGAGAAGTCTTACAACAATCATAATGGAATAAGAGTGTTGCGATTTGTTAAGTATTAAAATTTAATTAAAAAAGATATCATCTTTAAAAATTATAATTGTTCTAGACGCTGTGGCGTGAAGACGTGTTGTATCCGGTGCGGTTTGAAAGTGTGGTTTAATCTAGAAGTTTTATTACACGAATAAATAATTAGAAGGTGTTAAAAACAACAAACACACAACCGCATTAAAAATTAAACGTTTTCTTTTTTGTCTTTAAGTCCAGCCTACGTGTGATACTAGGGGAATATTCATACTTTACGTTACCCTAGGCGATGTGTGTCGGGCCTAAGTGTATAAACATGTCGAGGTAGTTTTTGGAGAATTTCTTTTTACCAAACTTAAATTAATTGAAATAGTATCAAGCTTACATCTTCAATATTCCCGTCGATCGTTGATGATGAATCTTGTACAGCAGGCGTTTTTCTAGCATACGTCCTTGGTTGAGAATTATTATTGAAGGCTACAGATTTGTGACTAAGACCTTGTCTCGTAAGCACCTAAAATATAAATGAAATAATAAGTGAAATATCAGATGAAGTATTTCAAATTGTCGATAATGTTGGCTTAATACAGTTCGTGTATGGACAATCTTATTATAAAATGATCAACTTTTAGTACCAGGTTCAAACCATTTCCAACCAAAATAAGTTACAAGTCTCAATTACACGTTTTCTTTTCTGCCATTGACAATTTACTTTAGACGGCTAATTGTTTTTCACCAAGTAGTAATTTTAGTTCTCGTTTTACTATAAGATGGATTCAATAAAGCAACTTCAGAAAGACTACTTTTCTACTTAACTTTTCTAAAATGAAAATTATGTTCTAATAATAATACTACACCATAGAAAAGATACAAAATGTTCCTCTATATCTACCTATATTATTTTGAGTGAAATATAATAACATTTTGAGATACTTACAATATCTGCGCCGAGTTCTTCCTTTTGCAACATACGGACATTTTTGATATTGGATTCAACGATATCCCATTCTAAAGTGACATTATCGGGCACGTAAATTTTTCTCGATAATACTCTGAAAAAGTAAAATATAGAGTGAAAAATATAAATATGCTATCAAGGTCTCTTCAGTGGCGTAGCGTATTGGAAGCCGAGGGAACAGGCGGCAAAATTTTATAGTAAACAATAAAATATATTTTTAAATATTAGAACGTATTCATATTTTTGACGAAACTATAAATACGGACCAAATGAAGAAAGCATGGAAGTTTCGGAAATCTTTAAAAAAAAAGGATAAGCCCGCTTTTTAGGATACAAGTCCTGTGTTGCGAGGGACAAAGTACACCCAGACTAAGAACAGTTATTTGTAAATCAAACGAAGAATTGTCCTTGGTATCGAACCCACAAAGCTCGATCCGTAGGCAGTTGCATGGCGACAACTAAACCAGACTAAATGTAACTTGTATAATGCAAAATAATGAAGACAGTTCTTGCCGAAAAATATTTAAAATTAATGAATATAATGTATAATATAATTATATAAAATACCTATGAAATACCTAATAGAGAAGGGCAGCAAAATTGTCTTCCGCCCCGGACCAGATGACACCATTATGTATGTGAAATTTCCCAATTGATTCTGAACTCTTTATTGTTTTATTAAAATAAAGTAGAGAGATACTTTATTTTAATCAAACTTTTATATTTACAAAAAGGGAGGCCCAGCAGATATCAATAATTACCGACCAATCAACAACAATTTATAATAAACTAGAAAAAAGACAACCAGTGGAACAGGCAGATTTTCGCCGCGGATATTCAACAGTCGATGAAATACACACAGAAGAGCAAATAATAGAGAAATATGAAGAATTCAAGAAAGAACTCTACCTCGCCTTTGTTGATTGCGCTAAAGCGATCGACTCTATCTCACATTAGAGCGTATACATCAATATAATTAAAGACATTTACATAAATAGCACAAGGCGTATTAAACTGGATAGACTGGGCCCTGAATTCAAAATAGTAGAGGCGTGAAACGAGGAGATCCACTGTCACCTAGGATTTTAATAGCTGTACTACAATATATAATGGAAAACCTAGACTTTCATTGTGACCTTATTACATATTTAAAATTAAAGTCAACGAAATAGTCATAGGAAAGCAAAATACGCCATTTTGTTTACTTCAACGACATGAGTATTTTAAAAGGTAAGCAAATCAATCAGAATGGAACGGGCTGAAGGAGGCGAAAGAAAGGAATTTTGAATTTACACACATGTACGATAGATAATGTCACATGTCTTTCAATTATTGCAAATGTAAAGAAAGTTCCCTTTTGGTTCAGAATGTCCAATTTCCAAAATGTCCAATCTTCTACCTAATGGGTTTTTTGAATACACAGAGAAATTAAAGCAGTTGTTTACAACCTATCTGACAGATCTGTATTTTATTAATAAACGTAAAAGTTCGTTTACAGTGAACACGCACTGACCTTAAGGATCGTAGGACTGGCTATAATTAAGTACGCACCATTTATTAACCGTAAAATAATCAAATTGAAAGGTATACTCACTGAAAAATTTTCACAAATGCGAGTGTTTTCCGGTAATAATCGGAATATTTGAAACCTGGAAACTTGAAACTTATTTCGCCTTCTTTATTCATGCGCCCTTCTATGCAACCTAGATTCTGAACATTAGTACATTTGATCAAGACATTTTTGATTGGCGATTCTTCTTCATCATCAGAAATAATTAGAGTTAGGGAGTCTGGGGCAGTACAAATGGTTGAAGACTCCAGAAAGTCTTCAATATCCATTGCGTCGTTTTCAGATGTGCTACTAGTAGACAACAGATGCGGTATCGGCATGTTTTTATCTAATAATCTTTTATTTATTTCTTCAGGTTTCAAAATAACCATCCTTTCTGTTTTTTTATTATCAGTCGATATTTTTGTCGCTTCAGAGTACACGGCAGCAATTTTAATTTGCGGGGCTACTTCTGCCACAGGTTTATTTAACTTACGATCACAGTTTGTAGATAAACTTTGATCAGACGTTTTATGGGAATCCATAATTATAACGGGAATATCATTTAATGTAGACTCATTTTCCAGTGGTGTATCCGGGGCAATAATTATTGGAAGTGTATGTATAGGTTGCCCAAGTATTAAAGGCGAGTCAGCTTTATTCGCCAATGGAATAGAGTGAGGCTGGGAAGAAACATTTGTAGTTCCAACATTTTCAGGGTAATTTTTGGAAGTCACTTTTAGTAGTGATCTAGAAGCAATACGGTAGAACCCGTCTGATTTCCGTATTTTTATCGGTTTTATAGTATTATTTTTGTCTTTCCTTAGGACAGGCTGTGAAATCTGGGGTAAACTGGGATTATCACAATTTTCTGTTAAAATGTTTTCTATGGGCAACATTTCATTCATTTGTATATCTTCCGACGGCATAAACGATAAAGGATTGTCAATAACTTTCAGGTTGTCAACTTTGTTAGTATTAATCCAAACACCTCTAGTTCGCCTCTGTTTTCTACCTCTCGTAATAGTTTTCACTGTCTCTATACCTAAGCTTTCATTGTGTTCATACGGGCCAACAAACACGCAATACTCTTTAGTGTTAGGGATCGCATAGATACCAAATTGAGGGTTATTGCATTTATCAGCACATTTTTGAGAAGACAATCTAACAGTTTTCCCCGACATCCTCGCAACATTTATAGCTTTAACAATACTTTCATATTTAACGAAAAAACCTTTATTATAAAATTGGATTTCTGTGAAATCATTTTCTACTGTCATAACAAACCACTTTGATGAGTCTGAAACTGTGCTTTTACTAGGAGAAAGCAATTCTAATACGTTTTCTTTCGAATTTGAGAAACTCGACCCGTCCGACACAGACTCTTCTAAACTAGCTTCATCAACTCCTTCTGTGATCATGCTGGATATATCAGTGATAGCTTGCTCTGACAATGTATCTGTTATAGCATTGTAGTCCGAGGATATATCTTTTGATTCGTTAATTTTCATTACTGAACCAATCAATTCCCAACAATGAGCCAAACCAAATAAAATACAAAAATTGTCTTTTAAACCGCTAGTATTTGTCAATAAATTTTTTACAGTGACGGGATATTTATACAAATCTGCAAATCGAATTTCATCAATATTTATGCAATTTTTGAACAGTGGGTTCTTATTATCTACAGCCATAAAAATACGAAATGGTTCAATTTTAGATATCAAAAAAAGGTTCTTTCGTTCGCTGTATCTGCTTAAAATAAAATCCCATGGATAAAGACACACTTTGCCCTTTTTAGGTGGCTCCAATGTATTTTTTATAATACCCAAGTTTAAGCGTTTTTTATATTGTTGATAACTTGATTCTAGCCATGCAACTAACTTAGGTTTATTTGAAATCCGTTTGTCAGATGTTTCAATCATTTCTAAATTTGACGACTCCAAATTACTATCAACAACTTTAGAACTACTATCTATTATTGTCACAGGAATGGAATCGATTTCATCATTTTCTAATTCTATAGACTTTTCTTGGAGCATTTCTTCTGTATCGATAATTTGCGTTGTTTCTGGCGTTGTATCTGTTTCATGCTGGATACTATTGTTCATTAATTCATGTAATCTGTTCCGCAAATAAATATCATTAACCTCCATATCTTGAATTTTGAAATTAGCATTTTGATAATATCCTGGTGTATATTTCCTTCCATCATACGGCTTTACTCTAGCACACATATGTGAATCAAATTGAATGTCATCAATATCTTTCTCAACCCGTGTTTCCCGACGGGAGCGTGTTCTAGATCTCAATTGAACGCTATCACTGCTACAAGAATTATCATCATCTAAAATGATTATCGTCTCATTACTTGGAGGATAGTTTTCTCTTCGCAAGCGAGGTTTAGATTTTTCTATCTGACCTTTACGGTCATCAAGAGAATTTTCAACACTGTATAAATCTTTATCCTGGATCTGAACCACGACCTTTTCAGTTTCATTTAATATTTTTTCTTTTGCCATAGTATCTGTGAATTTACATTTGCAAAAACATTTGTATAAATTATGGACCATACACCAAGGCTCTATATTTTCACAATTTAATTTGGTTATCGTTATAGATAGAATGGGATCTATTTTTGTTTCAGATTTCAAACTCATGTTTCTATAGAAATCTGCATATTTTTTTGATGATTTCCAATTTCTCCTCTCTGACTTCAATAATATGCTTTGGTTGCCAGTTACTATAACAGTTTGATGAAATTTTTGTTCCTCCTTAGACAACTTATTATTCATCTCTTTTTTTAAATTAATTAAACCTGGTAGTAGATCTCGACATTCACCGTCGTAATCAGGAATATACTTCGACAGATCACATTTACATTTAAACATACAACTAATACGGCCACAGTGATTTTTTAAAGGAATCGAGCTTTGTAATGAATCGCAAATACATCCTAAAATACAAAATGATTTACGGCAAACACTTGTATTGGTATTTGGAACTTTTTCCGGTAATCTAATAACAGTTACATCAAGTCTATCCAGCTCACCATATTTCCTTTTATTTTTATTATCTTTGATATAATTTGTACTGTTTAACGAATCTTTTTCGACCTCTTCTCTAGATTCATCTTCTCCAGTATACATGTTATCTTGATTTAAACCAATCTCAACAGCATCTATAATTTTGTTCATCATAACTCGCACTTCTGGGATCACATCAAATTCGTCTGTAGGCATAATCTTCAATAATTTCGTAGTATCTCTTTTGCATTGCTCACTTTCTCTATCCTGATCTCTACGCATGAGTATTCTACGCTGATCACATTTATAACTTAGATTAAAACACACGGGTGATTCATTTGACTGATAAACTATTGAAGAAGTTTTAGTTCCCAAAACTGAGACAGCAAATTCTGCCCATTTATCTGATATAAATCCATTAACGTCTCTTAAATTATTTATCAAATTCGTTATTGTCGTGTCCAATGTACTACCATGAGCAGGTTGAATTTCTAAGCCTGCATTTGGTAAATTCACCAATTCGATTTTACCTACATTAAATTTTTGATACGAATTATCAAGCATTTTCTTTCGTGTTAAAGGCCCAGGTTTAAAATTAACGGACAACGAATTTCGCAACAAGTATTTCTTTTTGTAACAAGGTTTAAATTTTTTCTCGGAACTACTTTTCAGCGCTTTCTTTACTTTACCCGCGTCCAAATTATAAATAAACTTAGTCCTACCACCTTTGGAGCCATTAATTTGAATAGGTTTTCCATTATACATGATATATTGTAAAGTATGCAAATGCTCTTCTGGATTGATATTCATTAACATTTGCCAAGATGATCTCGTTATAGGTTCCTCACCATTAAGTATATTTTTAGCTATTACTTTTGTATTATCATTTTTTGAAGATCCATCTCTGATTTTTCGTAATAGGAGGTTTTGTTGTCTATCCAGATAATTCGGCAAGTCAGTAAGAACATCTTTTTCAAATGTATTTCTTATATCACGAACTGTTCTTACTTTAAGTTTACTTTTCTTCTTCTGTACATAATACTTGTCACTGCGAGGTTGAAAGTCACATAACTGTGAAATAGTATTATTGAAATTTGCTTTAATTGTATTTTTGTTATTTATGGGTTGCGCTGGATCAACCTTGCATAAATCTTTCAGGTCAATGTTTTGTTGTGTCTTACCTCTCGTAATATCGGAACAGAATACTTTATCCATTTTATTGCAAACCTGAAAAAACAACACAAAGAATGAATATCACTACAACATCGTTTGTGACGAAATATCCATAATTGCTATTTTTAAGTTAAATTAAGAAAATAGTGACTGGGTTGATTTAAGTCATAACCTCACCTATCCGAGCTCTATTACAAATACATACAAACAAATTCACTACACGACTACCGAACAAACTGAACTCGTACAGTCGAAGTTTACAGTTAACTTAGGGGGCGTCCATAAATTACGTGAGGTGTTTTTTAAATTTTCTGTCCCTCCCTCCCCTCCTGGTGAGATGTCGTGAGATTTTATTCAACCCCCTCCCCCATCCACCGATCTCACGTGAGATTTTTCAAAATTGATGAGTACTTGCGAGTATTTACCTTGTTGTAGTATCGAGTACTCAGTATCGAGTATCGCTTTTGAAAGTATCGATACCTACTCGGTATCGAAAGTATCGTTCGAACCCTACAAATATGGTGGTTTGACATTCAGTAGATGTATATGCGTCGAAGTATGAATGAAATTATTTTCTTTTGAACGAATTAGTGAATGATCTTAATCGTATTCGATTACGATTAAGATTAAATCTTAAGCATGTACAATCTGGATTAAATGGACCAAAATAGTATATATTTTTTTGTTTCAATCAGAAAAAAATTGCGTGATATTTGTCGAGACCCCCCCCTCTCTCCAACGTAAGATTAGATGAGATTTGCCTCGACCCCTTCCCCCCCTTAAACATCTCACGTAATTTATGGACGACCCCTTAAAGCTATTTTAGATTTTTTTTTTGTTGATAATAAGATTTATTTTCTATATTAAATCAATGATATTTCAATGACATCTTTTGCAAATTGAACATTTTATGCAAAAATCCCAGGGAAAATGTAATAGGGCTCTTAATACAATTCACTCCATGTGCGAAAGTGAGGCACCAAGGGCATTTTCGAATTAAACAGAATACGAATTTTGAATGTCACCGCAGATTCATCTTTCAGACGTCCGAAATATATTTGTAACAAATTACACACAGCTAGGGGGCGTACTCACCGACCCCCCATTAGTGAAGTGGAAAGCGTTTGTATCTTCAAAAGAAAAACTAATATAACGATTAAAAAAAAAACAATCAAAATTAATTATTATGTACAATATCGCATTCACTTATTCTGTCAACCACTGTTTACAAAACATGACGTCGTCTATCGTAGTGTAGGAGATAATAAACTTTATCAAACAAATTTATCAGGTAAACTGCGTTGCACAAACGTCCATTAAAATTTCCATTATTTTAAACTGTCATTGCAAACCAATGATACTTTAAAATAACCCATACAAACATGACATTCGCTAGAGTTTAAAGACTTCATTAAACCTAATGGACATTTGTGCAACTGACCAAAGGATTTTAATAATGAGTAACACTAATGGACGATAGTACAATTCAATTTATGTAGTTCACTGAGTACTGAATACAAGAGCACATTAAAAAATGAAAGCTAAATGGGGGGGGGGGGGGGGGGGCATGAAAATATTATGAAAGTCCGGCGAAGGCTCTAGAAGAAAGTTTGGGAGTCCTTGCCTAGACCGTTATGACCACAGTCAATTTTGGCAGCTGTCTGGATAGTCGCTACGGAAGGGAAGAGCGGGGAGGTCCCGAGGATATCTGTTTTAATTCATAATTGTTTCATTCTCCATAATATTAACTTGCCCCCTCTGACTAGTGCTGCTAAAAACGTATAGATATTTCTAAAGATTGGATGATTTGCATCTAAATCAGTGCAAAGATTCTAATCAGTTAATACTTCATTTGGACTATACTTCATCGACGAACGCGATTATCGACTGATCTATTCGGAGCAAAGTTGACATTCGGATCAGCGCATCACTTTACTAAGCCGATTGAGTCGATTCACGAAAATTAATTACACACGTCTACCTCAGACTTTTGTCCACTCTTAACAGCTCTGAGAATTAGAGCACTTTGCATTTGTCGGGATGTTTGTGTGCGTGGTATGACAGAAATTGAAGCATAACCTCAAAGTGAATAATTAATGAAAGTTACGCATTAGTTACAATCTAAGTGCCTATCGACTATAATAATACCTTACTACTATAATAAAAGCTTTTATTATAAGAATGTATTAAATTCACCTACCTATTCAGTTCACCTAATGCACTTAATATGAAATCCCATTTCTCACAAAACATTGATAACATTACAAACAAACTAATAATTCGGTAAACAATACACGATTATTTTGAAATAATCATTATTCATAATTGAAATATGGGTTATATAAAAAAGCTTATTTATGTTCGGTACCACAACAAAAACAAAAGGTGATAAAAAAACATTATTCAAAATGGCGTCAAACCTGACCAAATTGACAAATTGTGTAGCATCTTAAAAAATAATTGCTCCGCTGTCTTAGAATTCTAAAGCTAACAGACGACTAAGAACAATTCAATTTACAAAATCGAAAATGACACACCCACCTTTAATTATTTCTGTATGATATTTAACATAACCTCAAGAATATTAACACAAAATGGCGGATAAATCACATGACGTTACAAAATTCTGATTTATATCCCGTTGAATCTGCTTATTAACTGTTAATGGCGTCTTTGATAAATAACAAAAGTATAACAATTTGTTTAAACGTTTACCACGAACGTGGTATTTCTTTGAAAAAAAAAACACTTCTAGAAAAGACGAAAGCCTACCAAGCACGTCACCGATATCTACGTAACATGGCGCACAAAAATGACGTTACCTGTACACCCCACATACATTTACCACAGATAAGAAATAACTGAATCGTTCAGGAACGAAATAAACCCGAATGTATTGGTAATTAGACGAAATAGAAATATTAATTTATTTTAGGTATAGCCCTATAAAATTACCCAATGATCTATAAAAACAACTACTGTAATTTAAATTTATTTAACATTATACCTATATCGTCTTATACGAATGAAACCATTCATCGTGACACAGTGTACGAAACGAATACCATCAGACGTCATCAAAAACATACGAGGAAAACTGTTAAACTTCTAACCTACTAACCACAACCTACATAGGTACTCACCCACCTATATAGGTTTAGAATGTAGCATCTAACGTACTAGGATTAAATAGCACTAAAAATTAAAAACCTATTTGGTTGTTGTGTATTTGATTGAAAAGTTGATTTTAGGTTTTTTGTCAGATTATATTTTTAGCACCAAACACTTTTTATTTCATTTCAGACAAAGGAATCTAGCACATACAGGTTAGTCGACGGTGATGTTTCTTATTACTTTTACGTAAAGTTGGTGTTCTATGTTGTAATGTTTCTTTAGAGTTTTTGAGCCAATCGAAAGATGTGGGAAGTCATAGGTCACTATATACGTATTAAGACCCACTGTGCGCGTACCACGTTGTTTTAATAAATTTAATAATATTCACTTCACTTTGTGTCGCAAAAAAACCACCACCTTTATGAAACTTTCATGTATATATTTTACTTTTATGTTTATTTTTTAAACAATAAAAAGCCACATTTTTTACAAATAGATATTTGACAGGAGTAGCTGTGTTCATTCTGGTTAATTCATCAATCACGCAGAACAGGTTTAAAAATTCTTATAAACTTAACTACTTATCTTTGATTTAAATATAAGTATATATTTGTTTATTATAATGGATGTGTGATGATTTTCTGTTTAGGTGTTATTTTGCGATTTCAACCAATATTTTTATGAACTTCTAGTTTAGTGTTTTATTTTATATTAAACGGCGCGCGCGTAGACTTAACATTTTATGACAGTCCTTAGGTTTTGTGCCCGTTTTCACTAAACTCAGGAGTCGCCCAAATCTGACACCTAAATGTTTGGGCACTGTCTAAGGTGAAAATGCATTTCACCGATCACAAGGAGCCACATAACACCTAAAGTTAAATGCATTGTGCAGTGCCTAGCGCTGGGCATCTGTGTAACGGATGTGTCAAGAGATAGAATCACTTTAGTAAGCCGGAATCAAGGAGTTTATTTAGAATTATGATATAGGCCATGAGATTTTTTAATTTTCTCAATTGTTATATATGGACATGAATGTCGACTTGGGTTCTCGTGTAAATAAAAGACCACATATTATAATTTTTCTTATTTTATTACCTCAAAATATATATTTTTGTCTCTTTACTTGTAAATACAATTAACATGACATTGGCGGAATTGTGTAAACGAAAAATTAGGCCACACATTAAAAAATGAAGAACTGAAGTATGCAAAATCATAGACAAACATTGCCTATCTACTAAGACCTTAGTGCAAAACATGAATCAAATCATAAGAAAAAATCATTATACTTTTCTTAAGTATATGCCTATGTAATTTATTCATAATGAGGAAGTATTTAAAAAAAAATCGTTCCCGAAATCAAACTAGTTGTCGCTACGTTCTTGATTTATCCATGACAACCCTTCCGGTTTTCTTTCATGTTTAAAAGTAAATGAGTTTTCAAAACTCAATAAACAACTAATATTCTATTTGTACCTTTTCGAATTTGTATCGAAATCTAATTTTCGAACTTTTCAAATTTCAGTTTTTTAATATGTTAGTTAAAAGGATCGGAAATGACTGGCTGTGGTCTATTTGTTTCCTGCAAAAATCAACTTTTGCGAGAGTCGTCATCCAGTGGAGGTGCTTTTTTAGTGCTTTCGTTTTTTTTAAATAGTTCCTCATTATACATTTTATATGAGTACATTTGATTATGACGAGTATCTATGTAATCTTTTAACCTTTTACTGCCTGAGTAGGGCAAGGCGGGCACAGTTTTACAAAAAAAAGAAAGCATGTGTCAATAAAAATATTAATTTAATCAACTAATAACCGACTTGGATATAAATTGTAACAATATCTCTTTACTTATTCCAACGAACGGTTTATTTTTTTAAAATTGCACATTAATAAAGTGAGTCGATTGTAAGATCATGCCTTCACTACACTCGCACTGTACCCTTTTTCTGGATTGAAACGGGGTAAGTTCTTTTATTTCCAGGAATAAATAAAAATCGCAAGGTGCGTGGTTGAAGCTGTAGCGATTGATACGTAGCAACATTTACCATATCGTAGTAACATCGCTACAACAATCAATAGTAAAATGAACTGCAAGAAGTTTCAACAACTAGAAACGAGATGGCGCTGTACACTGTTAATTAAGATACTACAAGTCTATATTTGACTTGTAGTATTTTAATTAACTTATCTTAATACTAGATTTGCATATCCAATCTCCATTGCCTCTGGTCAGTAACCTTCTGTATCACAACGTAGCCATCAGCCTCACCCCTCATTAGGACAAGCTCCTTCAGCAGCACAGCAGCAAGTCAGCCAACACCAAGGTTGGCACCGCCCGACTACATCTTCCCGACCTGCCTTGCGATTCTGTAAATTCGAATTTACTTGTGTATCCGAATTCACGTCATTTAGTACAGAAATTCTATTAATTCCATTTTTTGTATAAATATACAAAACAAAATTGGTTGAATATATATCTCAGAATATATTCTATTCCTACGTCATTTCGAAACTCACTTCACTTATTACCAATTCAAGGTTCAGTGGATGCAGCTTTTTAATGTGAATTCGGACACCTAAGTGAATTCGAATTCGGGTTTAGATTTTAACAGAATCGCAGGGCTGACGCTCGCAGCCCACGTCCGGTACCTCAGTTCACACACTCTGGCGTGGCAGCCCTGCACACCAGCAGCTTCTGACGATCACATCTCGGTACTTGCAAGCTCTGAAGCAATATACTGCAAGGCCTGAGCCTTCCTAATGGATGGTTAAGGAGGCTGGATCATGACCCTCTACGGTAGCTCAATGTGGATTGGAGGGTATTAACGACTTCAAATGCAGCCGAGACCAACGGTTAACGTGCCTTCCCAAGCACAAAGTAACTAGAGTTAATATTTTTTTTGGTCACACATTCTGTTACCGACCCTTGCGAAAGTACCTTAACAAGAACGACCGCGGGCCGCGGCGCTTATCCACTACGCCACCGAGCTTCTCTTACTACTACCTCCTGCTATTTCTTGTTTATGTTGACGATTTAAACCCAAATGTTGGGTAACACCATCAATGTTAGTCTACGTAGTTTTAATATCTCTGAAAGCCATACAAAACTCGTTTTTAAGAATTGCATTGGGTTCAAGTTAAAAATTGTTCGGTTGCAATGATTTCATTCCATTTGTTGTTAGTCCATAGACCAAAAAGTCACATCCAGCAGAATCTTTATCCAGTTAATTCGATTTTGTTGTTTCCGACTCGGTAGAATTTACATGGACAGCTGAAGTCTACAGACTTTGGAGTTTTTTAGACTTTTCAAAATTTCAGTATCATATTAAAATATTAACATCAACAGCAATTGATATGAATACCTACTTTTAATATATGTGATATACATTTAAGCGGCAACACCTGTGTATCTTTAATTTTTTGAAATGCTCTTTGAATAAATAAAAGCATTATCTCCAATATGAGTTACAAATCAGTGGCTTTTACTCATATTAAAAACTTAAATATTTTCTGTGACATAAATTAGCCTCAGGCAGGGTACTTTTTAGCATCAAGTTCGAATCAACTATTAATTTGAATTGGTCAGCTTGAATAACTTCTGTTGAAACGAATATTTCAATGAGATATGTGATAATTTTTCATCTATGTTATACTTTCCTTACGATAATATTTCATTAATATCAGTATTGCCGAAAAACTCTCCCCCCGACCGCTCGTCCCTTTTCTCCGATTTTGCTCATGTAAACGGATACTGTGTTTCGGTCCTCAAACCTCAAATTCGCCGAAAGATACAGGTTATGGTGACACATTAATATTTTTATGAAATATTCCATTTGAGTTTTAATAGTGTTAAGAAGTATCAATTATATATATATATATATATATATATTTCTAATTAAATTTGTATTAAACAAAAAAACCCGAACATGATTATTTTCGCGAAAAATCCCATTTCTAGTCACAGCACAGCCCATTTGCCATATTCAATTTAATTACATCCATAGGGAGAGACCCCAAGAGTGTCTCAGATGTAGTGCTTGTAAGTCACAACAAGGTTTGATATGTGCTTACTTAAGCAGACCGTAAAACTGCAGTTAAAATACTTAGTGGCTACTGAGATACTTATCTTGCATTACATAATCCACTTCCTGGAGAGCGATCTAACTCTAATTCATTTGAAATTTATTTTACTCTGTATATAATAGAGCTAAAAATGGTCCGTAATCTACCAGTTTGTGTTTTACTACAACTTTAGCCATGCTTATAAAGTTATTTAAAGTAGTGAAATGTAAGGAAATATCGTCATAACATCGCTAAGATAAGATTAGAGAGCTAATGTTCAATTGAAGCTTGTGTGCCTGGCGTTAACAAATAAATAAAGTTAATTAAAATTGGACCAAAACAAAATCGGACGCCTAAAAATAAAATTAATCTGAAATTTATTACTGTATGTAGTAAATCTATGGTTAAAAGTCATGACAGAGGTTGTAAACACTACTAACGAGATCAATTTTATTGAGTCAGCAGACGTTACATAGGGTCAAGTGAAAAAAGTGTAACAAGGGGGACAGTATAACATCATGGTTATCTCTGCCTTTTTCTCGTTTGTCTATGGCGTCTGTTTACGTGTTTTAACAATCTTAAACAGCTGTCAACGGACTTTAAATTGCTGGATGAACGGAAGAATAGTTATGTTGTGTGCCCCTATGATTATTCTGTTTTTCTAGGTGTGTTTGAAATAAAAAAATGGTTCGGAATCGGAAAAGGAAGACGGAAATTGGTTTACACAATGCTAATGATATGAAAGAAGCAAAAGAGTTGGTAGAAAAGAAAGTACCTTTAAGAAAAGCAGCTGACAGAGAGAACGTGAATTATGGTACTTTGTTATGTTAAGAAAAGGGTCTGTTCAGCCGAGGAAGCTGCAGATCTTCGGTTAACTCCGAATTACACAGTTGATAAAGTATTTTCAAGTGATCAAGAATCAGCGTTAAAAAAATATCTAATAACCTGTTCGAAAATGTGTTACGGTCTTGATACGATTGAAACTAGAAAATTAGCTTATGAAATGGCTACACACCATAAACTGAAGATGCCAGCATCTTGGAAAGCTAGACGAATCGCAGGAAAAGACTAGTTGGACGGCTTTCGAAAAATAAATCCTGCTTTAACTTTGCGCAAACTAGAAGCTTGCAGCCTTTCAAGAGCTACATCGTTTAACCGGCAAAATGTCTAAATGTTTTTTAAAAATTTAGAAGAGGTAATGAAAAAGTGTCCTAATTATGGTGACGGTACTAGAATATTTTGCCTAGATGAAACCGGTACGACGACAGTACAGAAACCAAAGAGGGTTTTGGCATCAACAGGATCAAAACAGCATAATAAAGTAACAACTGGTGAACGAGGTACCCTTGTTACAACATGCTGCGCAGTTTCTGCCACAGGTAATGCCTTACCACCGGCAATGGTATTTCCTCGAAAAAAATTCAAGTCGCCCATGTGCAAGACTGGCACTGTAGGCTTAGCGCAACCTACGGGTTGGATGAACATTGAGTTTTTCCCTCAGGTTATAAAGCACTTTGTAAAGGTGACTGGAAGCTCAATAGATAATCCATCGCTTTCATACTTGACAATCACGACAGCCACTTAGCTCCAGAGGCTTTGAACATAGCTAAAGCAAACGGCATCACTCTGTTTACCATGCCGCCTCATTCCAGTCACAAATTACAGCCGCTCGATGTCTCGGTCTTTGGACTTTTGCAGACTTATTACAAAGCTGCAATTTATTCGTGGCTTTTGCGTCACCCGGGAATACCTCCGACAATATACAATGGTGCAGAGTTACTAGGTTGCGTTCGATAAAGCAACAACACCCATAAATATAAAGTCTTGTTTTAGGAAAACTGGCATATTTCCTTTTGATAGGAACATTTTTACAAGTGACGATTTTATGCCAAGTGAGATCACGAACCGGCTTTTAGAATCTGAAGCTTCTTTATTGTTGCAGCATGAAGAAAAATCTAATCAGTCTTCAACTTCTAAAAATTCCAAAGAACGAACCACTCGCAAATCAAATTGCAGCATAAGATGCCATGCCGTCATCGCCTCAAAAAAAAAACTGAAGAAACACAATCACAGGTCAGTATTTCGATAAGTAACAAAAATTTAAGCTTGAAAAAAAAAATGATCTTTCTACAATGGAAGATATTTTAAAGAGCCCTATTAAATGTAGCGAATACCCAAAAGCCGGCCCTAGACTCTCTAAAAGAGGAAGAAAAAGGGGGAAAAGCAACAATTTGAAGAAGCAGCCAAAGAAAAAGAAAACAAAAAGCGTGATAACAAAACTCCAAATTCGAGAAACATAACAATAAAAAATAAACCAAATAAAGTTATCAAGAAATTTATTTACTAACTTTCAGAGCTTCCAAAAATCCTGAGCAAGATTCAGATATTAGATCTAGAGATTCAGATGACATTCCTCTGTCTTTAATGAAACGTCCCAAAAAAAGATGATTTTGTCGTGGTAAAATTTTTAAGAAAACAAACTAAGCATTATATCGTATAGTTAGATGAATACGATATAAGTTATCTACGCAAAAGTAGTTAAGTAGATAATATCTTTTATTTCCCTTAGAACCGGATCTCGCTATTGTCAGACAGGATGATATTGAGCTTATATTGCCATTACCTAAAATGAAAAAACAAACAAAACGATTATGCACAACGTTACTTTCTTGTACCACGGACACTGTTTCTATACACAATTTAGGAAATAAAAACAAATTAAGAACCCTATTAGAAACATAAACACACTATCTACGCGGCCATACAAATTAAGGTCGGACGGCCGGTGCATCGTATTTTGTAGTAGGTAATTTTGCAGTTAATCGTTTATATTAAAATAGAATAATAAATTTGTGTTTAAAATTATGTTCAATAATAAAATCGTACATAAGAAAACTCACAGTTAACTTATATTTTCGAAAATTTCAGATTAATAATAAGATTTTTTACAACATTTAATCAATAATATTTCAAAACTTCGAGGACGCTACAAATAATACGAGTATTTATCAGGTAACATTATATTTTTTATTTGATTGTTTAGACCAGTAGCTCAATCGATAAGCTCAAAAAGTGTCAACGTCTTGTCAATATCTAGTGAAATCGCTCTACAATATGGGTTTAATTAAAAAATAACGCACAATTTACAAATAACCGCTATGAACTAAGCCAATAGTTCATCATCACCAGCCCTTTTACGTCCCCACTGCAGGGGCTCAGGCCTTTCTTATGGATGGTTAAGAAGGATGGGCCATGACCCTCCACGCTGGCCCAATGCGGATTGGAGGGTATTAACGACTGTAAATGTAGCCGGGACCAACGGCTTAACGTGCCTTCCGAATCACGGAGTAGCTCGAAATAATAATTTTTTGGTCACCCATCCCGTGACCGACCCTAGCGAAAGTTGCTTAACGGCCACGATCGCGGGCTGCGGCGCTTATCCACTACGCCACCAAGCTACTACGCCACAAGCCAATAGTTATTCTGTATTTATTTAATAAGTCAAAATTAGTATTACATTTTTGATTCCGAGATCAAAGACGCCAAAATTTTTCATTTTAAGCAAAACTTACGGTCACAATATAATAAGGCCCTTAACGAAATAACCTTATCGTCGGATAGCTTAAGAACTACTTAACATTTTTTTAAGTAACTAACTTTATAAGCAAGCATATAAAAAAATTCAAGGTGCTGCGCGTTATCATGTAAAAACTAGTGAAAAATGAAGCTGCTATATACAAAAAAGTATTGCATTAAATTAACTACGTTCTAGAACAATGCCTAATTATCCCATCTCTATTTTCTAACCCAACTCAACGCAAGATTTATTTTAACAATAAAAAATAGTTTATTGTAAATATTTATGCTATATCTATTTGAGCACATTAGTTGAGTTCTATTTGGTACTTATTTGTATACAATAACTATGTATGTAGCATTACGTGTTAGAAAATTTTAATAAACTAAACGTTAACGTCTTTGTTGCGATCGAAGTTAGTGGGAACCTAAATCTGATAGTGATTTAATATGATCTTATAGAAGTTCTAAAATACTTTTCACATAACAGTAAAGTAGCCAAATGGCTTATCAATACTATATGCTGCAACATTTAAAGTATAGGTGAAATCACATTTCAATGAAGTAGACCTCTTTGTTGCGTGTTTATTCAAACTTATCTAAATGTTAGGTGAAAGACTGTTTTCGTGAAATTATTTAAATGCAATTCGTTTATGAATGCAAAAATAGTATATTCTTAAGGCAAGCGAAAAAGATTGTGATAGCGATTTATGGTATTGGGTAACTTTTTAAGTTCCAATCCCTTTTGGAATAAATGATGATTTGAATGATCAAGGAACATAAAAACTTCGTAAAAACTTAGTTATACCCGACAAAACAACATTTCTGAATAGCTTTTAAGTATTGATACCTAAGCTTGGCCTTAGGAAATTATAATTACCTATATCAAATTGACGATATCGTTCATTAAATATCTTTATCTACACTTAAATACGCACTTTATAAACGTATAAACATAAAATTAAAACTCATTATAGTACCGCCAACTGTATCATAAAACTCATTATAGTAACGCTATCTTTTTTATTCATGAAACTAGTTTATGGTTTAAGGCTGAATGTGAAAAAAATGGCGCACGTATGCGTAGTTTGAACTTAATTTCCCGCGCTTCCCATATTTTTTTTTGCCGATCGTGTTTTTGTATTCGGGATTCCAAAAAATTACTTCCTTGTAACCTACCTACTTTGTTTAATTTCAATTTTTCCTATGAGTGAAGATAAAGTAGTGTATGAAACTGCATATAACTTAGGTATTAAAACACTCTAGTCAAACTATTATCGTATATCGAATAAATAGACTCTTGTTTTAATTTTAATACCCCTTTTTATATGACAGTTGCATTAACAACAATTAAAAAACGGTCGTGATCGTTATCGATATCACATATCAAATATGTAATTGTAGCGTTAAATTCGTGAACATCTTTCAAATAAAAAGGGATTGAAGTTAAATTAAAAGGGATTGGATTGCGATAGATCTACTTTTAAAGTAGGCCTATAGCGTCCCGTACAATCAAGCGCAGTACTTCGCGGCATGGATGCAGAATTCAATGGACAGTGTTACGTATCGTTTAGTTTACATAAAACACAAAAAATACTGGGTCACACCCACTTTTTTGCTTTCCCTAGGAACAGAGTAACAGCACAGGTTATTACTTAAAGTTTTCTGTGGGCTTAGATGTCCAAAGAAACTAACAGGATCTTGTTATACCTCCGTTATTAGTGTCCATGATGAAGTAAAAACGATATTTTTCTTCATGTGAAAAGGGGCGACTTGAATAAAATCATGGGCAAGTTTAAAATTATATTTTAAGTCATCCCTGCATGTCATGCAATTTATGCAATTGATTTTTATAACTTCATCTTCTCAATTCATTCGCACGTACGCCGCAACTATTGCTCATCTTCTCATTTTCGACTCGTTCGACCGTCGATTGCAGTGTTGTTAAGGGAATTGTAATTAGAAAATACACTTGTTTAAAGTTACCAAAAAGAATAAGATATGCGCGGTTTATTTAGAATTACTTGTAAAAATATTTCTTTTGAAAAGGATATTGTTTATCACGTGGTTCTTCATGTGACCGATCCCGAAACGGCGACTTCTCCTGCACAAACGAAAATATTTTTTAAGAAACATTGTCATTTTGCGTAAAGCGATTTCTACGGGATGGGGGGTAGTCAAGGCTTGAAAAGGTCCGATTTTAATAGAAATAAAATCGGATTGATATTCAGATTTATATAAAAATGGATATACAGTCTTGCCATAAATATTGTTACATAGAAAATCAACATTTTTTTATTTTATTGAACGTAACATTTATTACTATTACAGTGTGTAACTCTAATTTAAAAAATATATACGGCTTATTCAAAGTGGTCTCCATAGGCTGCAATACGGTCCTTTAAACAGGCCGGCAACCAACACCATAGGCCAGTTATCAATAGACGCATGCACTTTTCCATGGGAAAATTCCTAACTGCTTATCGTATGGATTCCAAATCATTATGGCTTTTATAGTACTCTCTAAAACTGACTATAAATCATAATCCAGCGGATTAAGAATTGGACTAGATGACGATCAGTCTTGAGCTCTGATGAAGTCCGGAACGTTCGTTTCTTACTAAGATAGGGTGGAACGAGCTTTATGACCTGGCGCATAGTCTTGCTGAAAGGACCATTCTTGGTTATTGAACATGGTGTTGTTAAGGAACTTAACTATCTTCTCGAGATTGGTATCTTGATATTTATGCGGATGTTCTGATGACCTTTTCACAAACATATGGCTTGGTCACTCCTTCATAGCTAACACCCCACTAAACCATCACTGAAGTCGGATAATGCCAACGTACTCTGTTGACTAATTGTGAAGTTTCTTTAAAGCTTTGAGCATAAATACGGTAATTTTGTGTGTTAAATTATTGTTCAATTGTAAAAATATCTATCTTCATATACCAAAATAAAATATTTTCCTTTCGGACAGAACTGCTTTCCTTGCCTTTTTTGTACGAACACTATGTGAACGACCAGGAATTTTTTGTCACAGAGGTTTCATTATACCTTCAATAGCACGGTAAACAAATATGTAGGTATTTGACTAATACCAAACGTATAGACGGTTTTGAAAATTGTCTTTCGCTCCATACATACTTTATGTAGTGCAATCAAAGCGATACGGTTCTCTTTATCACCCCACTCCATTTTAATATAACAAAATATTTTATAATTTATTGGTGCGAAAATAACAATCATATAAAAATGACAGATCCGAAATTCAAAAGTAATATTTTGTTTATTTTTAATTCTAACAGTATTTATGGCCAGACTAAGTATATTCGTTTTTTACATTATATTGATGATTGATGATAATAATAAGTAGGATATCAATCAATGTTCTTATTATTAGAGTAGTCGTTTAAAACATATGATTGATTTATGAATTCATTTGTCTATTTAATCAATGTCTTTCCAAAAATTTTGGTGAACTACATTTAAAAATACAACTAAAGCCAAAAAGTAATTGCTACAGAAATTAAATGATTAATTTTATACACTCTTTGGGTATTACGAGGGTCAAACTGAAAGTTCTTAGAAAATCAAAAACTGATTACATTAGCCAGTTATTAGTTTTATTATATATTTTCAAAATATTGTCCATTCACGTCAATACACCGCTGCATGCGATGGAACCACTGGGAAAAGCACTTTGCCCACTCGTCCTTAGGGGTCTCTTCAATGGCATCGCGATACGCAGCCACCGCTTCTTCAGCATTCATAAACCGCTTTCCTTTAAGTTTTTCTTTAATTTTTGGAAATAAATAAAAATCACAAGGCGCGAGGTCGGGGCTATACGGCGGGTGACCCAGTAATTCAACGTTTGATGTCGCCAAATAGTCGATCGTTCGCTTGGCGGTGTGCGACGAGGCGTTGTCGTGGTGAAGGAGGATCCTACTGCGAGGTCGTTTCTCTCGAACTTTTTCCAAGACAAGTGGCAAACAATTGGTAGTGTACCATTCTGCAGAAACTGTTTTTTGATCCTCTAACACAATTGTTGCAAAATGACCTATCCTTCCAAAGAACGAGGCCACCATTTTTTTTCCCGCACTTCGATCTCTCTTCACTTTAGTTGGCAACTCCTCGAAAGGAAACACCCACTGAGCAGATTGTCTTTTGGTTTTAGGATCATAACAGTAAATCCAGCTTTCGTCACCTGTTAGTATGTCGAACACAGCATTTGAGTCACCTCCGTTAAATCTTTCAATCATTTTACGACACCAATCCACACGATGGAGTTTTTGAGCCTCAGTCAAATTATGAGGTATCCACCGGGCGCAAAGCTTCCTGACCGCTAAATGTTCGTGGAGGATTTTGTGCACTTGACTCATACCGATGCCTAAGCTTGTCCGAATCTGTTGATAGGTCACTCTTTTGTCAGTCTCTATCATACGCCGCACAACACAGATGTTATCTTCAGTCGTCGCCGTAGAAGGCCGTCCCTCACGTAAATCATCAGTGAGATTAGTGCGACCACGTTTAAACTCATTAAACCAGTTGTAAACAGTCGCACGAGATGGGGCTTCATCGTGAAAGGCCAATCGTAGTCTATCATAACTTTCTTGTTGACTTAAATGACATCGAAAGTCATAAAAAATCATTGCACTAAAATTTTCTCGTGTTAAATTCATGATGACGTGACACAGACAATTTTCAATTTGCCGCCAAATCGTAAAACAAATGACAAATGAATGAAATATATACTCAGTAATATTGGCAAAGAGTTATATTTTCAAATTTTAGAATTATTTTTTTATTATATTGTTTATAAGTGGCCAGTTCTAAGAACTTTCAGTTTGACCCTCGTATATAAAAAAAGTCGAATTAGCAAGCCAATCAAGATAAATATCAATTGATGTGGACGATTACTGTTACGAACGAAAAGTGTGTCGAGGAATGGTGTGGGCACGGGTGCGAAATGGAAGATACAGTGGTGGCCATATAATTAAGAACGCTACCTTGAAAATAGTACAATTACTTAAAAAAAAACATATAGCTTGTTGCATGTTTTATTTTTTTATTATTGTGGTACTCTGAAATCTTTCTACGTTGTTGGTAGTTTCTTCTATAAATTAGATTAAATAAACCACGAATAAAAAATATATAAATTACGCAAACGTAAAATCTAATCCAAGAATTAATAAAACTGGCGTCATTTAGTAGTTTGAACACAATTGGAACGCAATTATTCAAAATAATAATGGGAAAAAATTAAAGTTGCGACCAATCTGCAAGGGAGATTATATTTAAAAAAATTTGGAAGAAGAATTGGTCTTATAAAAAAATTGCTGACCATCTTTACATGTAGTAAAAGTTTGCTAAATAAACTGTTTCGCACGTTTAGCTGATGCGCTTAATTCCTTTTACGTTTTGATACAAATAAACGCCAATTTAAATATTTAAAGAAATATAATAATTAAAAATATCGTAATTGTAGGTACACTGGTAACGATAAGACGTTGTTACCTCTGCCTACCGCAGCGTGACTTCTGATGGTGAATTAGTATATAAATGACCTCTCGCGCGGCAATAGTTCATTTTTAAGTGATTTTCAAATATTTTCAAGCGTGTGCTTAATAATGCCGAAATCGGGGTTCTTCCATCGGAGTCCGCCTGACCTACGCTACTCTGCATTCTACGTGTCTAGTCCTCGTGGTTCACCAGTGCTGCTGACCGGAGCTGATGCCGGGTCTACCTACACCCTTACCAGCCGCTGCCACGGCTTCAAAGATAAGTCCTCCCAATAGAAGGTACAAGGACTATAACGAGCGAATCTATATACCTACCCCTGAGATTTAAAAACTAGAGACTGTAAAACAAGTTTTTTTTAGTTTCATTCCTTTTTACCTGAAGCCTGGGGGGTGCTTCTGAATTTACAAACATACGCTTCATACAATGTTCGAAAACCATGAACTTCAATGGTGTGAAACATTTTAAAACTTATAACAGTACTTTAAATATTGCACGCATGCCACAACTCAGTAAAACATCTCTTCGAGATAATAAGACATTTAAACCTAAGTTTACTAAGGTGACTTTAAAACATGGTGGTGGCAACCTGAATATTTGGTGTTGCTTCTCTGGTCATGGAGTTGGGCTTATTAGGCTTATAGAAGGAAACATGGATCAAGTTCAATACAAAAATATATTGGAAGAAACAATGTTAGCCTATTCTGAAGACGTTCTTCTAATTATTGGGAAATTTCAGCATAATAATGATCCAAACGAACGCTCGGTAAAAGAATTTCACTTTCAATCCGTTTCCGTCTTAAACTGGTCAGCTAACAGCCCTGATTTAATCTTAATAGAACATATTTGGGTGAAGTTAAAAGAGAACTACACGACGTTTTCTCGAAAGAATAGGATAAAATTATATTTATCATGCATAATGTCAGAAATTAATAGAGTCAATGCCTCGTCGGTGTTAAGCAGTTATTAAGAGTCGTGGATATGCGACCAAATATTAATTATAGTTTATCTTTTGTACTTTTTTATATTATAAAAATACAATCACTTTGTATTTAATTTTAAACATTTTACCAACAGCTTACGAGTATCGTTTCTAATTATTTGTCCAGCTTCATTATCATATCCTATAATACTGTCCACAGTAAATACACTTTTACAAAAAAAGTTACTTATTTTATATGTCTATCCTAGTTTAGTTTATCTTAACTAAGTAAATACTTACAAAAAGTTATATTTAAAAAATAGGGCAAGTTTAATTAATTTTATAACTACAAATCTTTCTTAATTATATGGCCACCACTGTATATAGCTGCCTCGCCTATAAGTGAAAATATAATTCAGTAATAAAGAGACGGAAGACTGTGATATAATATCTGTTTCTTTCTACTGCATAGTATAGGACATCTTAAAACAAACCTTCGAACCGTTCCACTGCACTCCCTTCTACGCTAATAGATGAAGAACTTCTGTCAAATGTGCAAGAGCTTTCTAAAGATTGATATTTCATTATGTTGAATAACTAAGGATATACATCACTCAGTAACCAGTGCGGAGATCAGATGCTAGAACATCTGGTGACGGCGGGCGGTCTTACCAATATTACTTCCATATACTAAAATACCAAACTTTAGAAAGCTCTTGCACATTTTAGTGACGACCTTTTATACTATAATTAGTGAAAAGCAAGCACATCAACGAGTTTGAGGGTCTTATGTCAATAAATTGAAGAGTAAATAGTGACAAATAGTAATCCATGGATATAATCAATAAAAAGAAATATTAGAAAATCTTAGAGTGCCTGCTAAATAGACATCTAGGTAGAAATACAATTCGTATTAGTTTAAATTACATAACAAATTGTGACTTCTTAACTACGAACTTGCATTTCACTCACTTCAATGGAATTCGAAATATTTCTGATCATTGGTGTGCTTGCTAACTTGACACTTAAGCATCAGCAATTACAAACATACTGGCAGGAACTTTAAGCTAATAAATATACAAAACCTGACGGACAAACAAACAAATATTAGCCGTCATCCCTATTGTGACCGAAATTGTGAGTCTCGTGATACATATATCCCCAAAGATTTCTTCTTTATTAAGTACTCTTTAAAACTAAAAAAATACTTCTTCATACTTAATTAACTTCAAACTTTATTATGCTGCAATCAGGTTCAAATGTATTTATTAATAAGTCACAAATATGTAACATAAAAGGTAAATTTCTTTAACGGCAGTAACCACAACTAATAGTAGCGGTGTCTGCTAATAGCACGTAATATACAAAATTGATTTTGTTTACATGATTTTCAGTGCACCTTTAACAAATAAGATCTTTTGATATTCTGCGAGATTTAGTGAGCGTTTTAACACTTTTCTCCTAAACCAATAATTTTAACTTACCCTCTTGTGGTACTTCTCGTAGTGATGGTCTTCTTGTGAACCATTTTGATGACTTCCCATTTTGACAACAACTGGAAAAGAATAATGTTGAGATGATGTTTCTGCTTTTTCATTGTTGGATTAATTTAAATCACAAAAAAATTAATAACCACCGATACAGCTGTCAACTTAAATACTGTGAACGATTTTAAATAAACAGCAATTATATATTTGAATTAAAGCAATAAGCCATGCGTCTACACATTTTGCGTTCAGATTGGCCAAAATGGGTACCCATGCAAAAATTTCATTAAAAAAAAATTTACCGTGCATATAATATTACAATTATATAATCATAAAACATGTATCATATAAAAAAGCTAGATGTGCATATTTCAAAAAAATATATTATTATAACGATCTCGAGACCGTTTTGTCTACAACCAAAAGTCACTTTTCTGAAGTGCGCTCATACGATATCTCACTCTCGATTCGAAAGTGACATTTGGGCATACACAAAGCGTAACACGTGTAAACATTCCCCTTTCACTTTCCTCACTGACCAAACCATCGAGATGATTAGCTTCCATTTGGTATGGTTTTTTATTAATTAAAATTAACGCAAAACAAGTGAGTGAAGAATACATATAGTACCGAATTATATCCTCTCAAGCAAAAAAAACATTATTTTACTGGACATTTATTATTACCTTTCTGTTCGTCTCGTCGCCGTTTCTGTTCTAATATGGCAGTTTCTTCAGTACGGTCCTGAAATATGCAATTGAATTTTTTTTACCATACAAATTACATAAAACTGAAGAAAATTCCTACTTTTATAATATCTGTAAAGCCAAAGTACAATAAACCTTCATGGATAAAAAATAAAAAAAATTGAACGTAGTTTTAAAGTTTACAATGAATGTTCATGTGTGTGTGTGTGTATTCATTAGTTTTTTAATAGGTGAAGATCTGAATGCATACTTTGATAATAATAATACTACATCCTCTCAACACAAGTTAATACTACTGAACAGTTATTATACCTGTGCCTAATTATAAATGTCTATATTAAAATTATCTAACTATTGGGTGTTCCACTAACAGATTTTAGGCTAACATGAATTGTCGAAGACATGAATGTATTAGTCGGGATGCCGAGTAAAATGAACAATAGCATTATTTAATTACGTAGACATTACTCACCCTCTTTCGGTTCATCTTACGCTCTTTACGCTCATCTCTGACTTTAGCTTTTCGTTTTTCTTTTTCAGGCGAACGTTCCTCTATCTCTTTGTTACCCTGCTTATGCAGAAAACATATATTAATATAGGAAAATTTAATCTAACCAGATATTAGCCACCCAACGTTGCAATACAAAATTCATAATTTCGAAAATAATGAAATACCAGTTCAAAAACACACTAAATGAAGGTAAATCAGGAATAAGTAGTAGTCTCATTTCTTGAGTGAGTCTCTTATGCATATGCAGTTGAACGATCTTGTCCATATTTTATATGTTACTGGGTATATAGCTTTTTCCATGATAAGAGTGTTAGTGTGTGTCAGTGTTAATTCTTCAGAGTTCAGTCTTGCATTTTATTGTTTTGTTCTTCTGATGCCAATATAATTATTTTCCTATTATCTGGTGTTACGATCTGTATGTATGTGATGAAGTTCCATAAGTTAGTACACACATTCAAATTCAATTGCATTTTCTTTTGTTAGCTTGTTCTTCCATCTTATATCCACCTTGATTTACACATCATTTGGTGAAATTTTTGACCGGCTTTAGTTTAAATCAATCATCAAATCTTACCAGATATAAATTGGACTGGGCTCAATGGACTTAAGACTCACAACACGCATTGGATTGATTTCTTATAATCATTATTTAAGTTTCGATGAAAATTATATATCTTCACTGTAAGTTACTGCAATTTTCTTCTCGTCCCTTCAAATTCTAGTCTCGCAAACATCTTGTAACTTTTTCTTTCTTCATTCAGTTTAAAAGATATTTTCAATAAGTGTTTTCTATAAATATTAACATAGCTTCTAATGTGTCTTGATTCTTCAATGTAGTACTTGTCAAGGATTCTTTATTTTAAACCAGTTGCGGAATATTTGAAATATTTGATATTTACTTCCATTATTACAACCATTGTTGGGCTTGCATATTGCAGTCGCATGTTTGTATGACAGACTTTGATTGACATATAATTCTCATTATTAGAATAATAATCAAATAGATTTTATGTACATGGGAGATGAAAATACGGTTTCATAAGATTTTAGCGAAATTAGGTAGTTTTAAGTATAGATTCTATTAATCTTCAATATTTAATAATCAATACGTTATACTGTGCAGTTTATTGTTTCTGTAGTCTTCTTTCTTAAATCTTCTGTAGTTTATATCTTAATAACGCGTAGATTTTCTTATTAGTAATGTAAGCGCTAACTTGATTTATTATCACAACTAATTTACACTTGAGTCATTTTAGTTCGTATCACTCAGTCATATCTTGATCAGGTCTCGGTGAGGTAGAAGGATGGTAACAGACTTGAAGTAACGCGTTGTACGCGTCGTGGTCTTGGTCCAGCCCAATCCTCAGTCCGGTGCTAGCGCGATGCAAGGCCGATTTATCACAACGATACTCACCTTGCCATTGCTGCCGGTTTCGACTTTACGACGCTTCACGTCTGAAATAAATACAATTGGTGGATGTTAATGACTGAAGTCTTTCAGTTCAAAGTCCAATCCCCAAAACGTCCTCTTCCCGATATGTTTAATCTATGATCATGATAAGTTCGTTAAGTACATGGAAAACATTTTTACTAAATATTTTGAGACAACGTGTACCCAGAGTCGCTGTTGTAAAATAATAAAAACGAACGCTTTGGAAAGTTCGTACATATTCTTAAATAGACACATCATAGTAGTAGCTTTAATATGCTACATGTTTTTCATATCAATACTCTTTAAAAGTTCACAATCTACTACAGATTGGATATTTCGGGAACTGGGCATTTTGAAACCATTGGACATTTTGGGGATTGAAAGAAAAGGGAGAAAGGGCCAACTTATCATTTTTATGACGGAATAGTAAGAGAAAATACTTTAAAGCACTACAGAAGATATTCCTGGAAAACAGACCACTAAATTTAAGATATTTTTTGTTAAAAAAATATGAAATTACTAAAAAAAACCTTGATCACAGTAAGAAATAGAATAGTTTAACAATAAAGAAGATTTAAAGTGGATTTTCATTAGTAAATGATTGGAAGTCTTTGGTGCTTTCTGTTAGAGAAAAAGTGAATATAATTAAGTCACTAAAGTCAATTTTATGCACTGATTACAATAATTTCCTGTATAAAAATTGTGGTGGAAAACTTAATCGCCAAACCGTACACATCCTTACCTCGTTCTACGTCGTCGGATGGATGACGATGGTCATGTGGAGGTGAAACAGTTTCCAAATATCGTTCCTCCTGCGAAGCAAACAATTAAATAGGGTTTTCTACGCTGTTGAAGATAATACTTGCAACTGTTTATTTTATTTAAAAAAAAGCAAAACAAATACTTAGGAAAAATAAACACGTTTTCTTGCCTTAAAATTAAATCAAAATATAAACTCATCTTTGATACCCGCGAAAACGCTTATGACGTCATTGTGATATTTACACAAAACAGATGCATAGAGCAGAAGATTAAAGGATGTCCATAAAACAACAATATCTAACGCCCGATAACGAAATAAAAAGATATAAGCTAAGAACAGCGCTATCTAGGAATTTGATTTATAATTATTAAGCATATCTCTGCGACTAATCTGACAGCAGTGGCCAGTGACGTCACACAATGGCAGGTTGTGTTTCAAGTCACGTGATACACACGATAATAAAACACGACTTAATTTTAAGATAATCGTGCGATTTTAAGACTCAAAATCAGAATCTCTATGTTTATTACGATGTAAATTTTAGTTTTTGTGCACTATTTTAGTTTTTGTTCTCGTGATTTACTTTTCATTACCGAAATTACATTACTATGTATGTTTCTAGGATTACAAAAAATATTTAATAAATAAACACAAGAATTACCCTGTGGCTTCTGTCTCTTGGTGATCTTTCTTTACCCCGAATTTCATCCTTGTTGCGCTCCTTGACGGCTCTAAATAATAACCAATCAACTTTAATTCTCAATTTTAGTCATAAATTAAATAAGTATTTTCTTTTACTACGTAATACATACGATCGTGATTCACGTTTTGTTTCTTTATCACGTTCTACCTCCTCCTTACGTCTTTCATTATTCCGAGATTCACGTTTGTCGGCTTCTACAAAACATCCAAAATTGTTATCATATGTATATTTCTAAAAATATAAACTATTATAAAGAGGAAACATTTGAATGTTTGTTTGCATTGAATAGGCTCCGAAACTACTAGACCAATTTTAAAAAGGCCTTAGAACTACGGGAAGCTACAGTAAAAGCCTTTGTAATACACCACATTGCGAAAGCTAATAAATCACGAGGACCAAGTCACGACAAAACAAATATATAACAATACCTCCCAGAGGGTAAATCTAATATATTTTAATATATTATTGTACTAAGCATGTCGTTAACAAAGTTTTGTAAAACAATATTAATACATTCAGTTTAAGGCTCGATATGCTTCGCGCAATGCTATTTACTGAAGTTAGCTCGCTAAATATAAAAAATATATAGAAAAAATAACTATAAATAGCTATAAAATAGGTTTTAAGCGGGTATATTGCAAAATGTCTTTTTATCCAGTAGCAACAGTAGCTATAAAGGGTAATGATATATATACCGGGTGTTTGTTGTGGAGATGTTGAATCTTGTTCCTGTTTAGTTAAAACTGGTTCTTCTTTGGGTGGTGCTGATGGTGCAGCATTTGCCGCACTCACCACTTTATGTTTGTCGCCAACCTGCGAAAATATCTTAAGAGTCACAATTCTTCCGTACTTTCAAATAGAATTTTCAATATAACAATATGTTATGTTATGTTATTATTTCAAAAGTATCAATATATACTATATCTTGAAATAAAAACTAACCTGATGGAAGTCACTTTCTCTCATCATGCTAGAAACTTTGTTTCGTAATTGACCACTGTATCCTGTCGCAAGTATATATAAATCTTGCCTCTGCGCCTTTTCTTCTTCTTTGACCTTAAAATAGATATAAAATTGTAAAAAAGCTATTAATTTGTTTTTGCTCTTATATATCAAATTGTATTGTAATTTTTCTGAAAACACATATTTTGAAAAAAAATCTTAATGAAAATTGCTTAAAATTTTTCATTATTATTATTATTATTATTGAATATTTTTCAGTATAGCATTGTGATTGCGAAATTGATCAAATATAAAAACACATACTTTTTTTTGTTTATTTGGGTGGCTAATTACTTGAATTACATAACATAAATGATGAGCAAATTACAAGCCTCCCCAGATGGCAAAGTTAAAAATATATGTCTCCGAGTACCTTTTCAATTTTTCTTTCAATGATCTGTGCCAGTTTTTCTAGGACAGGGAAGTGCGGCAGTACCCGTATCAACACAATCAGTGCGTTACGGATCTGCACATAGTCCCCAGAATCCAAACACACCACCATTGCTTTAGTTATCTTGTAATGCCATTTGTGGCACACATGCCTGTTGAGTAATTAATTTTGGTTTATTTACAGTTTGAAGTGTCTTATCAGCTCGCTAATAGATAAGATGGTAAGAGATGACCTAAAGATATGTGAGAAACCTCTTGTTCACATTACCTTTGGTCAGAGCTAATACTATGACAGTACTATATATATAATAGATGTCCCGGTGTGTTATAATATAATCTATGGCTAAGTGGAGTAGATATAGTCCCATGTGTTAAAGTTAATTAAATGATATATTGTCTTGATATAATTAGATGTTTATTTTCACTTTGTAACACAAACGAATCAAAAAATGAATCCCCCATATCCTGTACCATAGTCTATATCCACTCCACTTAACCATAGATTATAACACACCCGGCAGACCTCCTGCTCTAAAATAAGGTAACAGAAAATAATCTACGCGTCTTTATTTTGCTTTAATTGACGTCATATGTTTAACAGTGGTTTGTATAGGAAAATAAAATGGTTGTTTTTACTATTTTCCTCATCATTTTTTATCCTTTTTTTCTTCAAAAGAATCTTCTTCAGACTTCATGAATCACAACAAAATAGAAATCAATTATCGATTCAGCTGTTCCAGAGTTTTAAGCTTAGCAACACATTGAGCAATTAATTTTTATTTATATATCATAGATAGATATTACAATAGTAGTATTACAGCATTTAAACTATCGCCGAAGATAATTTCTGCGAGTGCTCTTTTACAGCAGTTTTTGATCGTCCAAAACGAAGATCGGCAGTATGCCAGCTTTAAATCGACTCACCTGTAATTCTCGTAGCCGACGTGATCGTTCGCTTCAGTAAACTGGTTGGAGACGCGGTATTTGGTAACGAAGCCAGGATAGTGGGCGCACTCGCGATGGAACGCCGCCTTGTCGCCGTGCCAACGCATCGCCGTCCCCAACACTTTGCAAAGGAACGTGCCGTATCTGGCCGCTTCACCCTCCGTGCAAGACATCACCGAGTATGTGATGTCGCAGAACAACTGTGCGATCAACGGTCTACATGTACACGAGTTGCCATCAAATAGTAAAACAAAATAATAAGAGATACCTACCTGTTGCTGCGAAAGTACAACAATAATTTTCTGAGATCAGCTATACGATTTTTAAAAATTTTTGTACAAGTCAGACGAATTAAGATAATATTTGGCATAAAATGACGTTTGTGCGAAGCACAGCGAGCAAAAACTTTCTTATATCAAACTTATTAGCATATGTTATAAAAAACAAAACTTAATATATCTTAAGACAAACTTAACAATCAACAAAATATTTCCAAGCATAATAAAAAGTAACAAGAGACTAACACTGAATTTCGAAAGCGCAAAGACATGTAACAGTTATGTTAACGCTACTGAGCTGGCTGAGCACACGGTTCAGGATGGCGTGGGGAGTATGGAATCTGAGCGTCATATTAATTCGGTTTACTTGTATGTTTGTAGGGTTTTATTATTTTTACTTGTGGATGCTACCACAAAAAGAATGTGTTATTCGATTGTCTTAAAATAAGTAGATGATTGTTTTTGTGTAATACAAAACACAACAAATATACAAAAATAATCGCATACATAAAAATTTGATCATGGGCCTCTTCAACCTTTTTATCTGTACCATACGTATTTTTATTATATACCTATGCCATTAAGGTTTAAAAACTCGATATCACAGTGGTTTCGCTCTGAGATTGTAGAGGTTAATCAACTACTGCAAAGGTTAGTCTTAAAAGTGAAAAAAAATAAATAAACTTGTTCTGTACCATTCATAGGACACATAATACATATTGGGTACATATTAATATTCAAAAGATACATGATTAGCACGGAATAGGGTCCGTGTAGGATTGTCTCAGAACGGTCCGACTATTTTGAGAGTGAAAGAAATGCAAACAGAGCGGGATGGGGGTGAGGGAGGGGCAGTGTTTGAAGGATACATTCTTACATTTTCAATTGCCCCAATGCCTTACACCGGAGAGCAACACTGATTTTTCGTGCACGCGTTTTTCGAGAACAATCAATCGGTCATTCGCGTTCGTCGCTTATTTAGATTTTATTATGAATTACGAAGTATTGGAGAATCCCTTGGTAATGCATCCTCGGATTCTAGATTTAGGCATTTAACGCTACTGGAAACACACTGGAAGAACAGCAAGAACCCCTGGAAACATCGAGTTGGTTACGGATTCTGTAATTCGACAGCCTCGTGTTAGCATTAGGAAGCTAAGTTGCATTAGGGCTATCTCGAGCGACAATTGATCGCATAATGAAATCTGAGTTGCTTCTTAAGGCCTATAAAATTCAGATTGCACAGCAACTGAACGAAAATGATCATGTTCTAAGATTAAATTATGTGAACGTAATCTCTCTAGGATTTGACGATTTAAACAATATTTTCTTCAGAGACAAGCCCATTTTCATTTAAACGTTATGTGAATCGCCAAAATTGACGTTTTTAGCTGACAACAATCCAATCTTGTTACATCAAAGCCCTGACACAAAGAAACATTATTGAACCTTCCTTTTTTGAAGACTATATCATGGTTGCAGTAAGATAGAGTAGAATAGGTTTTTATTTGGCAACACACATCACATACACAATTTACATATAGTTTATAAATATGATAGAAATATGACAAACATAACATAACAAAAAAAGAAAAAAAAAAATACACAATGAAGACACTGAAACAGTAAATAATGTATAATGGTGTGTATCGCCAAGCTGGCCTCAGTTCAATATGAGCAGTAAGCGTGGTTTACTGCACTGATATTCTGCAAAGATTCGGCCAGATGGAACCACTGCACAACTCGCAAGCTGCCCTTCAAGATTTGTTTCCTGAAAAAGTGATTTCTCAAAGGGTGGAAGGGAATAAATATTGAAGAGAAGATTAGATTCCTCAGCAACTTCTTCAAAAAGTCTTCGATAATGTCCGCAATAGGTTTGAAAAAGGTCGCCAAAGAAATGGTCGTGATTTATCTATGCTACATCCAAAAAGTACAATTTCGTAGTATAAAATAAAAATAACTTTTTCAATGCAGTTGCTCATAAAGCGCTATTTTTTTAATCCATTGTAAACACCGAAAGTGAGTCCTTAAAAACACGTGTTAAATAAAATGTACTGAAATCCTTTACTGCAAACATGCTTAAAAGTATTTTTTATTTTTTTTTGGCCGAAACCCAAAGAAATTGATGAAAATATGTCAAACTTTAGAGGCAAAAGTATTTCAAGGAGCCTAGAACGAATATTTTCAAATAAAAATGTTAAAATATCACGTTTAATTTTAACAAATAATTTTTACCTTTAATACATACTAAGTTTTATTAACCTATATATTTGTTTTATTTCCTCGCAAAAAGCATTGAAAAATGTTGTAAGAAACTTGAGTGTAAAAGGTTTTTCGAGTATGACACGAAAAACATGTTCAAATATCACGTTTAATTTTAACAAATTATTTTTACCTTTAATACATACTAAGTTTTATTTGTTTTATTTCCTCGCAAAAAACATTGAAAAATGTTATAAGGAACTTGATTCGTGCCAATGAAAACCCTCGCTACGCTCGTGTTTTCAATTTGGCTCTTATTCGTAAAACCTTACTTTCCGCACTCGTATCTTAAATAAATAACTATTATTATTATCCTTCAAAAAAGTTGGATCGTTGTGAGACACTCCGAATGTAAGAATATGCATTCTTCCTATAAGATTATTTTCTTAGCCTGTACCCGAGCATTGTGGACTATTGTATTGTATCAGTATAAAAAGAATAATTGCTTAATAAAAAAATGCGTAAAAAATCCACCTAAAGTTGTGGGTTCGAGTCCCATCTCAGCATACCTCAGTCTGGTGGATTTTTTAAGAATTTATTCATTAATAATATTTCCAGTATAGCAATGTGAATGAAAAATTGATCAAATATAATGAAAGGAATTATCTTATCAATAACTTACCCTATCGTAGCACAGTAACGTAGAGAAGTTAGGTGTCTTGAGCGAGTGTACAGTATGTACAAATTCGGCGCAGTAAAGCGCGTCTGCCGCGGTGAAAACGCAACGGGGGAACAAGCACAGTTGCATGAGTCGCGTCACGGTCTCGTTCTTGGCGGACTTGGCAGCGCGGGCAGGGAACCAACCGCTGCACTCGCGTTGTAACCGAGCGGACACTCTGGACACGTGCTCTTGTTGACGACGCCGTTCCTCCTAATGTACGAATATTTCTTTAAATATATGTATCATGTCGCCGACCAATTAGGCGGCTAGCCTTTTAATGGATCTAAAGGGGCCATTCAATGAAAAGGTCTAGTCGCCCAATTGGTCGGCTGATTATAACACTTGGCTGCGACATATATATATATATAATATCATTTATATAAATTAATTCATATTTCCTCTGGTCACGCCATCACAAGTGAACGGCTGGACCTTTTTTGCTGTGTATGTTAATTTTCAGAAGGTTCTTATGGAAAAAAAAATAAGAAAGTTGTGTGGTAAAATTAAAGAATATTTAACCACCATATAGAATTATTACCAATCTATTATCTAAACTTAAGAATATTTATATTATAAATATGTATATGAAATTTGTATATACCTATATAAGTATATGAAGGTATGTTTGTTCAATGTATATTTATTTAATATCTATTCTAATCATAAGATTACTATACACCCCCATACTTTTAAGATAGTTCATCTCTCCTTCTTAAGATTGTCTGGACGAGATCGCTGTATAGTGATAAGACCGCCGATTGTAACAATAAAGTGTTATCTATGTATTTATAATATTATTTTTTTAATTACAGAATGCGTGCTATAAATATTATCAAATAGGATGTAAAAAAATTGTTCAAATTCAATATTCATAATTTAGATAGGACAACATCTGTCGGGTCAGCTAGTTATGATATTATCACCATGGCATTGGTTCTGAAGTAAATTATAAAACCTTTTTCAAAGCTTTTGGCTGCTTATGGATTTTTATATTTAACATGGGAATGACATATTGTTTGACTTATACTGGTTTAGGGAGGTTAACATGCTTTCATGAAATTCGGAATTCGGAAATACCTCGGAATATACTATAATCATCTAGATTAGGAAAAACAAAAAAAAAGCTACATTTCTATTTTATATAAATCTTGCATACCTGTAATTTCTCAATGAGGGTATTGAATCGCTCTTGTTCCTTTTTGCCTTTTGTGCCTTGAGATGTATCTTTAGCGGCATTGGCAGCTGCAGTTTTTAGGCGTTCTATTTCTCTTTCGTAACTCTCGACGGGCACGCGAAGATCATACATTGACAAGGACCTTAAAGAAAAAAAAAGTTCATTGAATGTTAATTTTTCCTAAATGATTTAATAACATATCGAAATTTAGACGAAATTACTAAAAACCAGTGCAACTTACCAAAAGGTCACATAAAATTCTGGTGAAATATCCTCCCATACTCTTGTTGGCAACATTGGCGTAACTGATGTTAATATTGGCTCCAGTGTTTCCTTTGAAGCCAACATGTATCTTTCAATACTTTTTTCTAAATTATCCGATTTCGCATCGATACCCTTACGCAGGGACTCGGCCTTGGCTGCTATTTTTTGGGTTAGTACCGGCCGATGTAAGAAAAACGCCACGTCGGCATCCACGTGATAATCGCGCAATAATTCCTAAACAGGAGGTTGAATAGTTATATAAATATTATACTATCTACAGACCTTCAACCTAGAAATCTAAAAAAAGTTACCTGTAATGGTGGCAAACGAGCTGCATACTCATCTGGTGCATGAGATGATGCTAAAAACGTACCCAGTTGTACTAAAGCATCTTGGCATTGATCAGCTAATCTACCAACTACTTTTAGTTGCGATCCTGGAGGTTCCCCACAAGTGGGCTTCTCTTCTTCACATTCTATAAATAAAAACATAGTTTAATATCCTGGTTTACCTCTAGTTGTATTTACTGCAAGAGTTTAAATTCAGTCCCCACCTTTCCAAACACAACAATGTCGTTGCTGGGCAGCTAATATGCATAATGATATGTCCAAATTGTTTCCAACTATGGCTTCTTTCAGTCTAGCTGAAGATCTTCTGGTGTTACGAACTTGAGAGAAGTATCCAGCCTATAACAATAATAATCAAAATAAGTATATGGCAACTCTTAGCAATTCTCATTAAAATTACATTTGTATCATACCTCTCCTTTAAGTAATTCACCTCCTGCCATCGCATCTAACTGTTCTGATGTCATTTCTTCAGCAGCTTCAATGCCAGCCATCTTTTGTACAATTTCTTTTAGAATTAATAGATCTTGACTGAAACCATGAAACCATTAAGAATTAAACACACAGTAGACCATATCTGATATAAAAACGAAAATTAATATCAGGTCAATAACAATTAAGAGAAACAACATATTTAAACTGTACAGTAAATTTATTTACCTGCTAAAAAGCTTAATTATTCATCCTATTTCACTATTCATTTATAAGAAACAGAAGGAAAATGAAATAATAATTTGATATTAAGAAATGAATACACTACACTACCTTTGTTGAGCTTTAAGTCTGTTGGCAACGAACTGTAGTAAAGCCGTAAGTTCAATGTTATGCTTCTTGAACGCGGCCCCGGCGAAGGCGGCGAGGGCTTGCAGCCAGGGAGGGTGCGCCGCCCCCGCCCCCGCCACCGCCCCGCGCCCCGCACACAACGCCTCCAGCAGGCAGTACCCGAGCACGTCCAGCGATAATGACGTTAGATACTTGAGGGACTCCACCACGGGACCGATTAGGTTATCGTATGTTTGTATCTAAATCAGTTCTCACATATTCAAACTTGACATCCATTTGTAATTGTCAAAAGGTAATCAATTAACTAAATATATACTGTTCTCTACGCGATGTTCAGTGTACTTAATTATAAAGTTATTAGAAATTCGGCAATTCTACATTAGGGATAATATTTTTTTTTGGTCTGTCCATCAGGTAGATTATATTGACACATTTTTTTGTGTAATCAATTAATTATGGCGATACATTGTTACTGTTACTGTCAAGTGACATCACATTTTTCTACATTCTCTACAAAGTTAAGATGTAGCGAACCCCACTCTCTAACTTAAAAGCATTTATTTTTCTAAAATGTGACCAATGGATTCAAAGATATTTTTTTTTACTCAGGCGTCCCGCTTTTCTTCAATGTCATTAAAGTCATTGTAGATCCAAAAGAAGTAATTTAGAAAGCATAGCATAGCATAATTTCCAATTTATTTTAATTTGATATTTAACCGAAATCTTTGTTAACAATTTAGAATATAATATTTTATGTAGCAAAACATACCTGTAGAAGCATGTAATCGAATAGGAATGCTGGTGCGGCATGTGATAGTTTTCCGATATGGCGACCTTGCGGTTTTATATTTTCTTTAGAAACTCGTTTCATAATGTGTTTGATTCTTTGCAACGAGTTTCCACGCACTCTCATCAACGAGGGTATTCTTTCACCCGCTTCATTCTTCCAACGTGAGTACAGACAATACCTTTAAAAATGAATTATTTTTAACCTCGTAACATGAACTAATAACAAATCTATTAACAAATCTCACCTGCATTGGTAAGGGTATAACTTCAATAATGTATAAACTTCTTCAGCCATACAGCAATTACCCTCCATTAGTGTAAGAGCTGGTAATATTGCAGCATCAAGAACAGTTAATGCTTCGTGATGTAAAGGATCCTCTGGTTTGGATCGTGATGTTCGAAGTATACGGATTATCTACAAAATTATAAATAAAATGTGCATAATAAGAACTGATCATTAGGTAGATTGACTTTTGGAGATTGTATCATAAATGATCATAGAAAGAAGAACATGGATAAGACATATTTCAAGAAAATATTTCTGAAACACTGATAAATCTCAATCCTTAAAAAATATCACCTTAGAAGACAACAATATATAACTATGATTATTGATATTAATAAATCCATTACTCACTTTGTACATTAAAATAGGATCATGATGAAGAGATGGTCCAAGTAAAATCAAAGCAGGAATGACTGTTTCTTTTATATCTTCAAATGAATTACAGACCTTTGGAGCTAATGGTGAAGTTAAAGGAGGTATAATCTTTCCAAGAATTTTGGGAGCCACACGGCAATGCCTGAAAATCATTATTTGTACATACAGTTATAACATGAATATAGAAACATCAAATTACTGACACATAAATAATCCTCGTTATTCTAAAGGCATGTTTGTATTATATTATACTTACGTTCTATATAAGGGTTCAACCAAGGCATGTAACATGCTACAAAGGGCGATGGCTGGTCGAGGTGCCATTAGTGTGGTTGGTAAGCGGGCAGACAGCGCTGCGAATTCGCGCCAAGCATTCACTTTTAGAAGTGCTTCACCTAGTACTAGCTTCTGGTTATTCCAATATTCCTAAGTAAATCAAAAAGTACTGTTCTTAACACTATACTGGCAGTAATATATCTTATAATTATATAGTTAAATGTTAGGTTTGTAGCATATAATAATACTTTATTACTATTGTATTAAAAGAAAAACTATATTTACTTGTGGATCAGCTTTTTCTTCAATAAATTCGGTGGGTCCATTTGCTTGAGGTCCTTTTGTTGACACAATATTAAGCTTACGAATAAAGTCCTGTGCTGCTTTTACTTCTTTTTCAGCTTCTTTTGCCATTATCATGTCATCAGGTCGTAACTAAAATGAAATTCATAATTAAATTAAGGTTTTAACACTGTGTAAAAAAATGTTCAATTACATACCCATGGATAGATATCATCTAAAGATATAACTTGATGTTGTAACAGCAGAGCTATAACAGTCATCAAAGGAGGGGGTTCTTTATATGTATCCAAAATCTCCATGTTTCCTAGCTTAAAACCCAGCACTTCCGATATCACATGTGGATCACCCATATAGTTTTTTATAAGAGGTATAAAAAGTTTTTCTAATTGTGGACGTGCTTCAAAAGATTCCAGGATTATATCTAATACTCTGTTAGGATCTAAATTAAAGCATCCTATTAAAGATTGCATAATTTCCAATATTGTTTTCCATTCTGTATCTTCATTTATTTCTTGATTTAACTCTACAATTAACTTGGCATATCCTTCACTCTCTTCTCTAAACAAATTAAATTTACGTTGTTTATAACTGAAAGAAAAAGGAAGTCATAAATTTTTAAGAAGGCACAATATCATTTGATCACTGATCAATGATGTACTTACTACAACTTAGTCTTGATTTTGATAAATTTGGTATAAAAGTTTTTGTTCTTTAAAGTACCAACATCTTGAAGTGTGTCGATCTCTAATCTTTCTTTTAATAATTTGTCAGACATAAAAGACTCTAATTCTCTCACAATATAACAAAAGTTTGTGCGTTCTTCACTTTGAATATCTGTACAAGTTTCAGCATCTAGCACACATACTACATCTAAAACAATTGATGGTATATCTGCATGCAATACCTGAAATTTGTAAATATTTACATCTACTTTAAAAATGTTTTTAGCCTAATAGTAAGTAGATTTGATATTTTTTGGTTTCTAATATAAAACATAGTAATTTCTAATATCATAAAACATATGTTAATCATAAAATGAAAAAGTAAAAAACCTATCTTTTATGATTGATATTAGAAACCAAATAATATTAAATACTATTCCGCTAACATTAATTATTCAACAAAGTAATTAATATATCCACTAGGGTGTTCCGAAAAATATCGAAGATGAGTGATCGGAAGAATTTAAAAAATATAAGTTGTCGTTTAATTTTTGACATTGGTCAATTATGAGCTTACCAGTAGAAACAGAAGCAAGAACAATGGGCAAAAAGTACAAATAAACAATGACCAAAAAGTCTAGCCCACCATTAACATATCACACTTTTATAAGCTATTGGATTGGCCATAGAAAATTAATTTAATTAAATAACAGATAGGAGCATATTATTATTATCTTACTGGTTTCCTGTGGAAATCACTGATTCTACTGAATATTCTTTGACTTTCATCTATAAGAGTATGAAATGGTTGAGAAAAGCAAAGGTTTTTTTAAAGTGTTAGTCAAGCTATAGGAAAGCGCCATGTGTATTTTATTAATTTACATATAACATTATTAATTTGTAATAATAAAATAACAAATGAGGGTAAATTTTCATATACACTATAAATCTAACCTATTGCAAAGATATGTTCATAAATACTTGATTTATAATCAAGGCATAATTCATTTTACATTCAGTCTTTTAATAGATTATTTTTAATATTTTGATGGTACTATGTGAAAACTGATATTTGGCAGATATACATTATGAAGGTTTGTATGGCAACACATCACATTCTGTTAGTAGGGAAGTATGGTCAGTACAGTCTAACATATATAGTCTGATGTGCAACCTTGTGTACATATTCATGGTGATATGTGGCCAATATGTTCCATATGTATATTCAATAAATATTTTACCTTATTCTCTTATTCTAATTTCACTATTCATTAAATTACTATTAAAAACTAAACTTAACATCATTATTTACTTACACATATATCTCTAAGCACTGAGAGAACTGCATCTTTCTTTAAATTGCCACGAAGTCCACAGAGCATTAAATCATATAGATTTTGAGATAATCCCGAAAGCTTTCCAGATTTAGAAAAAAGTGGACTTTTGTCTTCATCTCTGATAGTTTGTGTCACATATTTAATACTGAAGAGAAAAAAAAAATTCAGATTAATAAAACACACCAAACTTCTTCAATTAACAAATATAGATGTTAAAACATCAAAATTTTTAGTAGTGTAGAATTTATTTTTCCTTCATATTATTTATCAAGAAAGTCATGCTTAAATTATTGTTTGAATAATTTGTGATCCTAAAAATCAACATATATTTATTAATATTCTGTAGTAATATCTAAGGATATATTTACATGTTAATCTTAAGTAAATTATAACATATAGAATATAAAAACTGATTTCAATAGTGTGCTTGTAATGTTGATTTCTATTAATTCGTTACCAATATAAGAAATGCAGGAATAAAATATTAACTTAGTTTAAATGAAAATATTTTTTCTCTGGTAGTGTCTATTACCGATAATCATACTAAGTTTATACAAGAAGGTTTTACATTAAGTTTATACAGCATAAAAACATTAAACTCTCCTTTAAAAATAAACCTAGATTAAGCCAGCTAACACACAAGTTAAAGTTCCCTGTCTATCCTAGATCTGGCATATATATGAACAAATCTATGAATATCTATAATATTTTAATAATGGAATCAGTAATTATTGATCTAAAAACATATTTTCTCACTCTTATGTAGATAACATACCAACAGAATTGATTTTAAAATTTCATAATTTTCCTTAGAAATATTATAAATAAATATTATAGGGAAGACGAGAAACATCTTGATTTTTGTAGTATAACACAGGGTTCAGACAAGATCAAATTTAAAACAACGCAACAGGCGAGGAACGCAGTGTGTATAGAAAAAACTTCTGCAAAAACATCTGTTTTCACAAACAAACATTAAAATCATGTATGATTATTTCTGTCTATGAATGCCAAATATAGTGATTAAAGAAATATCATACCAGAGTAAATCGTAATACAAAACATAATGTAAAATTGTTTGAAATCGTATGTAGTTACGAAAATTAATATACGCTAAATATAACGGGTATGCCATACTTACAACTGTTCTTTGCCTGATTTCTCCCAAGCTTTACAATATTCAGATACAAACTTAGCGTAAGATCCCATATTTTATAGGATATTGCAATTTTTCGGTTAAAATTACGAATACTAAAACATCACGCACGCTGTAGCCATTTTAGTAGATTTGTTTTTTTTAATAAATCTATGTTTGTCTATGAAAATCATTGACAAAGAATATAATATAGGTAGGTATAGGGTAGGGGCCTTGGCTTTGACATGGATTTGACCATTAACTATAGAAACTTTTTACTATTTATTATTATTATTATTAATAATAATCTTATTATATATATAATATATTATTATTAATAATAATAATAATAAATATTCTTTATTGAACAATAGAAAAGACACAATATACAAAAATCTTACGCAAACATAATAACAACATCGCACAATAGGCGGCCTTATCGCTTGATAGCGATTTCTGCCAGGCAATCTAACAAAGTATAGAAATGTAACTGATAACAAATATAAGCAGATAGTGCAAATTTAAAATAAAGCAATTACGCGGACAAATAGAACAAAAGTTATAAGTACATACAAGTGACAAAACAAATAGATATATAAAGCGTGAAAGCATACCAGCGACAAACAAAGTGCGACATGTGGGGGAGGAAAGAGAGAAGAGAGAAAAAAAAAGAGAGGAAGAAAGGAAAGGAAGATTAATCTTCAGACAGGTAAAAAGATTTTAACAGCGATTTGAAAATGTCTAGAGAGGCCTGTCGTATTGACTCGGGTAAGGAGTTCCAGAGTTTGGTGGCCTGTAGTGTAAATGAATATTATTATAACTTCTACAACGATATAATAATAGGTCCTCTACACAATTGGCCGTGAAGACCGATCGCTGATCAATTGTAGTATACTCTTTAACAGAACAGGAGTAAATATCATTACACTGTTAATATATTAAAAGTACGATGTGAAACTACAAAATAATAATCTATTTAGTAATGAGGAAGCTTTAAAAAAAACATTAGTCCTCGAAATCAAACTAGATGTTGCCACGGTACGTTCTCGATTTCTCCATGACAACCCTTCCGGTTTTCTTTCATGTTTAAAATTAAATTAGTTTTGAAAACTTAGTTACTTAGTTACTTCCTCATTCATGACGTTAGACCAAAGAGAATAGAATTGTCAGTATTGTTATGGATCTGATAATTCGGATTATTATCGAGTTTAAATAGGGATGATGGCTAATTTTTGTTTGTTTGTCCGTCAGGTAGAGTATTCAAAAATATTAAACACGTATTTTTTTATTTTTTCCTAATCACTAAATTACGGCGTTACATGGAGTTAAAATTTCGCATGACGTCACGTTAGGGTACGTTTTCTACTCAACTGTGACGTAGCGAGCCCCCACTCCTCAACTTTAATGTCTGTTATCTAAGCTATTTCTTATTAAATTGAAGTTAAAAAAAATACGTATCTAATATTTTTCTATTATCTGACTGACGGACTAAATAGAATTGCATTTTTTTTACCCAGTCATCATTCCTATTCAATGAGGAATTATTATAAAAAAAGTAGTTCCCAAAATCAAACTAGATGTCGCTACGGTACGTTCTTGATTTCTCCATGATAACCCTTCCGGTTTTCTTTCATGTTTAAAAGTAAATTAGTTTTCAAAACTCAATAAACTACTCATATTCTATTTGTACTTTTTCGTATTTGTATTGATATCTAAGTTTCGAACTTTTCAAATTTCAGTTTTTCAATATGTTAGTGAAAAGGAACGGAAATGACTGTCTTTGGTTCATTCGTTTTCTGCAAAAATCAACTTTTGCTAGAGTCGCCATCTAGTGTAAATGATTTTAGAGCTTTCGTTATTTTTAAATACTTCCTCATTAAGTCAATTTCCAATCAGAATTCTCCGTGTGAAATAAAACAAGAAAAAAAAGCAGCCCATGTCGAGTTTATTGCTGGTTCTTCTCAGTACAAGCCCCCCCCCCCTCGTAGTTTTGCGAACCATTGGCATAGTTTTCAACTTTCACAGTATTATATAATAGCTTAGACTGAATTGATTTTGATATTTATTTTAATATCATTCAATGTGTATGCATAATGACACATACAAATACAGGCTGAATTATGCGCTCCGCTTTTTGTTGTTCATTCCAAACCTGGATTCGGATGAAAATTACGAGCAACCAATAAGTTGGCTCACTTATGTTGACTAAAATTAAACATCGTTCCTTTACACGCAACATAATAAACAATTTAAACTTACGAATATAATAAATTAAAATTATTTTTATAGTTAAAATATTATAAAAAACACAATCGATGTTATATTTATTAATTTTCGATACTCAATTTACTTTTATTATATCAGAAACAAAATTTGAATGAACATCATAGACAATATCCAAACATCGCGAGTGACATCTAGTATGATTTCAAGAACTAATTTTTGTTTTTTAAATACTTCCCCATTGACATTTAGATATATTTTTAAATAGTTTATTATTGGCTGAGATTTAGATCCTACCATTTGTGCTGGCATGTAGTGAAAAAAAAATTTGTAGTTTCTTTATTTTTTTTTATACTTCCTCATTGACATTTAGATCCTACAAATTGTGCTGCCATCTAGCGACATATTTTTTTGTAATTTCTCATTTTTTTTTAATATCCCTCATTGTCTCCCTCTTTTTTATACCATAGACCACATACCATCCAACCTAGGAGGAGTCCAACAATATTGATATCTAAGTTTCCATATTATGTTAGTTAAAAGGAACGGCAATGATTATTTTTAGTTGATTCGTTTCCTATAAAGATCAATTTTTGATAGATTCGCCATCTAGTGAAGTGCTTTTAAGTGAAATCGATGTTGACATCGATGTCATCATCGTAAACGGAACATCGATGTTCGATATTTATCGAAAACTGAACTGACAAAAAATCGTCGATGTTGGAAAACTTCGATGATTTTTTACAATAATTTACAAAGAAATAAAATACAGTGAGATCTTTCGAAATTTATTAAGAAACAAAACAAAGTATTGCATATTCCAATATTTTTTATCAACTGATTGAAGGAAAACTAATTTTGATAAAGAGTAGAGCCAGCTTTTGTAAACATGTATTTAAAATATGAATAATATATTATACTTACATAAAAATTCGGTTTTCTTTATATCAAAATTTCGATGTGTTTTGTAATATCAATTAATTTAAATTGATATTAATATTATCAAATATCAAATAATATGTTGGTCTTGCGTGAACCGTGATTGATAATTGATTTTGTTATAGGTTTACCAGAATCATATTGCAACACTCATGTCACCCATCAATCATTAAGTCATTTGGTTGTCAATCATACCTACTAAGTCTGTGGTTGTCATTCGTTGCTAAAATTTTGTTTTTGCCGGTAAAGAGTTTCGCCAACTTTCATAAATTTCATTTTCATTTTACATGTAGAAATTAATTTAATCACTTGACATTGGCAAAATTGTGCGTAATGCGCAAATAAGCCATTAATAAAAAAAGAAGAAGAAGTCGTAAATATTTCGTTATTTTATGAGAAAATGTCGAAAAACCTCTTTTTCAAGCGAGGAATATTGTTTTCAATGTCTACAATAAAATTCGCGAGGAGGAAGGTGAAAATCAAATTCGATTTTAAAGCGCGTCGTAGCCCTGGTCGTAGCTTTGACTGATAAGTTGAACTGAGTAGTATTGATACATTTTATATTTTTTATAACATTAACTTACATTAAAGATGTTTTTTAAAGGAAACTAAATGATTATGTATTAAATATATTTTGATTCATTTTTAGGCGTTTCCAGTACAACTGTACGACAAATCATATGTAAAGGCACATCAAATGATGGTGTATTTTCTACGCTCGGTAGTAAGAGAAGAGGAGAAAAGAAAAGAATTAATTTAGATAGTTTTGATTAGGAACAAAGTTAAAGAATTCTATACAGTATGCAAAGAAATTCCAACAGTAATGAAAATCTTACAAATTCTTCGTAATGAAATTAACTTTCAAGGAGGGAAGAGAGTCATTAAGGTGAGGAATAATATCTGCAAAATACGAACTATGTATAATAATTAATGTATTGTCTGAATAATATATAAATAAATATCGTCATCAGCCTATTGTAGTGCACTACTGGACGTAGGCCTCCCCAGGGCATGCCCATTTGGGGGGTTATGCCCGTAGTCACCACGCTGGGCAGGCGGGTTGGTGACCGCAGTGAATTATATATCGTTTCGTACTGTGTTTTCAGTATGGGAGACGCTGCTGCCCACCACCTGTATAATCCCTTTATTGCCTCTTACGATGCCCACGGAAAGATGGGATGGTGCTATTCTACTCAGCTGGCACCACATATACGCTTATACATTTTGTACATAAATATTAATTATACATTAGTACATAAATATGTAGCGACCAAAATATTTTTTAACTTGAATTGTCAAGTTAAAAAATATTTTTTTATTTGATTTTTCAGACTACGGGCGCTTGTGCACTATACTGAATTGTCAGGTACGGCGGTCCGGTTTTTTCCGGTCCGGAATGACATGAAAAACCCGGATGAGTGGCTTGTGTACTTGTCCGTTTTTTTCTGATTGGAGCGGCGCAGTTTAGGGCAGCTCTCTTTGAAGCTACACGTCACTTACGCTAGGTACAATGAGATTTTTGAAACGTGTGTAACTGCTTGCTTTGTTACTCTACGTGCGAAGACGTAGAAGACAGAATAAATATTAAGAATCATTTTACATAAAACATAATAAATTGAGGCAAGATGAAAGCATTATTTTTTTATTGTCGGATGACTACTATCAGATGTAAAAAATACTAATTTAAGAAATTAAGAAAGCATTATTTACATACAATTGCTAAATATATCTGTGACATTAGAATAAAATTATTTATAATAGTACTTGATGTTTCAATTTATAATCGTGCTATTTTATTTTCGAATTTTTGTAAAAACACTTCAAGCGATTACAGAGAGACCAATTGTTGGCGCCATTTCGTAAACAAATCGAAATTAGTGCCGTGTAAGTGGAGAATTAATATGCTAAATGAACTTTACGATGGCATTTAAATCAGCTATCCTATTGTAAGTTTTAAATGTCATGATTTAACTATAATCATTGAAAGATCAGTTGACTGTATTATATATAGTTATAGTTTTATACGCGTGGTGTAGTTTCTTTGAGTATAATTATTTTTCTTTTAGAATACTTCTGTTATAAAATATTTATTTATACTTATCAATTGCCTAAAAGCAAATTTTATATTAAAAAATTCCATGCGAACTCATCCCCTATTCCCACCTCTTCTTCGCAATTAATATGACCGTTCTCAAGGTTAAGTCTATTTCTATACTAATTTCTATTAAGATGGGCTCAGTTGTTTAGGCGTCTAAGCGTAACAACACTTATTTGTCTTACCTTAAGTTATCGATACTTTAAATACGATTCTAGAATCTATCAAAGTATAGATACTAGAATATAGATACTAACCATACGATGATCACATTAGAACTAAATCGAGTTTGCCAAAGCATATGCAGTGATATTTACCAACTATATTAAATTATCATATAAAATATCGCATTTTTTAATCTACAATAAATATCGATTATCAGTATATCGGAAATGAACAATATCGCAGAAATAAATATCGATTATTCATAAATTGATAATTTTATCCAACGCCTAATCCGCAGGCTCATGAATTTTCCGGATTGCGGACACAGTAGTGTACAAGCATAAACACATTTTCTATTGCCGCCATCACGGACCTGGAAAAACAGGTCCGGAATAGAGAAAAATAAAATTCCGGACGGTAAAATTCCTGACAGTGCACAGGCGCGCATTACCTACATATGGCCTGACATATCGGACAGGAAAAAATCATGTGGTCATGAAGTTTTACTGCTTACGGCTACGGCTTTTACGGCATAGAAGTGAATTGGGGAATAATGAAGCAAAAAGTAGGTGAAAAAATTGTAAATAGGCCTGCAAGTGATATTAAATCACTAACTGAGGAAGCTTTTTCGCAAATTGATCTGTGGAAATTGAGTTTTTAGAGTCGTTTTCTAGTTCCGAATAAACTAAATAACATCACAAGATTTTTTTAATCATCCCCCTTTATAAAATTCTCAAAAATTATATGTGTTTGTTTTATTATTATGAACATATATTATTTATATTTATAATATAAAGAGAACAGATTTGTTTGTTTATTTGGTAGTTTTTAATGGATAAACTCAAAAACTGTACAGATTATTCTACAGTTTTCACTAATTAATAGTGTGAATCAATCGAAGTTTAGGTACCAACTCCAAATCGTACACACAAATCAAATTTCCATGTTCCTATTACAATTTAAATAATAATATTTTAAGTATCAAGATCATTTACTCCAATTTCCTTGGTGTGGCATACATCAAATTTTAATTTCCCTATTTGTCATGAGATTCTGGTAGGTCTATAACATCGATATTGCATTATTTTTCGTATAGCATCGATGTTAAGACATTGATTTTTTGCTTTCAACATCGTTTATTATCAAAAATCGATGTTCATTGATAATTTTTAACTTCCTTGGAAAATGCAAGCAAAGAAAAAACTATTTGTGCCGTTACTCCAGTTACGAGTGCAACCGGTTACATCTAGTGTTATCTAGCTAGTACATCTAGAGCACGTAAGATGACCCTAAGGATATACCTATTGATATTTTAGTCATAAACATCGATGTTTGGCTAGCTGAATATCGATGTTTATTTAGTATTGATGAATATCGATCATCTCTAAAGTGTGTATTGTTCTGTGGTATTGTTTGTTAATCAGTGATTGAGTTTTTAGGTTGTAAAATACGCTAAAATACGTAAAATACTATGCCTGCTTACGAGCTGGCTATCATGTTACGGGCTATGCCAAAAAATGAACTTAAATCTAGTCTTCGACGCATATCTCAAGCAATATTTGATCGTGGAGGTATTATTAGAAATATTGAGAACTTGGGGTTTAGACCCACACCGTATAAAACCAGTGCTCATGGATTAGTACATAGAGAAGCAAATTATTTTATAATTAAGGTAGATACAGCGTCGCAAGCTGTTGCAGATTTAAAAGAAGAATATAGTCGTGATGTTGATATAATACGCCAGCGTGTATTTAAAGCTCCAACTGATATTCAGGATTCTTGCACTTTAGAAGATGAACTACTGCCTCCGGCTTATCGTAAAGATGTTCAGAAGATGATTGACATTGGAAAAACCCAAGTTAATCGTTTTACGTATAAATTCAAGTATAATTCAGGCCTTGACTATTACCCTTTTCAGAGATAATCTGGTAAAAATCTATTTATTATATTGTTAGTAGTGTATTAATACTGATCACCTGTGTACATAGTGAAAAACCATTAAGTAAATAGACATTAGATTTTAAATTAAAGCAAGTACCTACAAATGGGTTTGTTTTTTATTTTCTACCTACTAGTAAAAGAATTTCTATATGATTATCATTTATATTATGCAACTTTTAATAGAATAATATTAAAATATAATAAAATAATATGCATCTAAAATAGTTATTATATGTTAAATCTTTGAATTTAATATTGGGTATCTAATCAAAAGGTTAGGCTTTTTGCTATAATCAATTATATTAAGGTTGGAGTAAAAGTTTCGTCACTTATTTTGCTAGTAAGAAAAACAAATGAAAATCACAAGTTTTCATAATTTGGATTTCGAATTATCTTCTTTAAAATGTAAACTTTTTAATGATACCAAAAGAAGCCAGATACAAATGTTATACCTAGAAAGATTTTATTACAAATTCATGCATACTATATGTGAAAAAACAATTTCCCCAACCACAATGATTGTTTTTTTTCTAATTTAAATAATTTTAAAAGTTCTTAATAGGGAAAAATAGAGATTGCCTATTCTCTTATTTCTGGTAATAGTCGAAAGCTTGAAAAAAAAAAATTTATATGTAGCCTATAATAAAACAGGAAACCAGAATACTGTTTATAATTTAAGTTTGCTACTGTGGTGGAAAATCACTGGAAAATTATGAAAGAAACTTATTATAGACTCATTTGTTAATTTGGTTTAGATACTTAAAACCTGTTATGCCAGGGCCAACTAACAAGGAATTTATACACTAGAAAATTACACATTCTGTATATTTTTTTGGGAAATGTTTCTGTGTTCTCTTATTCAAAAATTCTATTCAATAATATTCAAAATACTTTTAGTTTAAAATACCATGAAGTTGATAATGTATTTATATGAATTTTAAGAAAAAAGACTAAGTGCAATTATAGCAATGAATTAGAAGATCCTGTGAACAAACAGATAGAAAGTAAGAAAACAAGCGGCTTTAGTCTATTTGGATATGGCAGTAAAATTATTACATCCTAGTATGTCATTTATGGGGCAGGTGGCTATTTTAAGAAAAATGTATGAAAAAGAGTTTAGGACACAAGAAACAGTTAATTGATTACTCAGTTTATTCTTACGATAACTTTAAAATAATACTTGAATTTTCTTTTTTTTAACAGCAATTGGAAAGCCTAGTATGTATCGCAGAAAAATTTCATGATCATAAATGTGCACATTTTGTCACATCAAAATATTTAGGTGAACATATAATGGCTATTATATATAGACTGGATAATAATAACAAACAATCGTTATATCAGCTTGATTTACAACTAGCCAATTTTTTTTTTTTTATTGTTAATCATTAAAATAATATGGTACCAAAATTAGAAATTTTTATTGTTGAAAAACTCCTGAAAAAAGTGAACATTGAACTTCCCATGGTTATGATTGAATGAGAAAAAAAAATAAAAATATAAGTATTCAATTTTTGACTATAGGTTTATTTTCGAAAATTTCTTTTATTTGATCTAATTGACAATTCTGTAATGCATTTTGTAATATATATTTTTTGTTGTTGTAATCTTTCAAGTGAAGAGAAAGATCTTGCCAGTCTGCATACCATTGTTTTAAATTTTCTGAAAAAGAAAATTGTTATGTATTTTAAGTCAAACATAATAGAACTTATCTAGAGTGTTTACAAAATAATAACTCGTCCAACTAGCAGATCGACCGCTAACTCTAGTCTTAACCCTTCAAGGCTCAATTTTTTTTGGTTGTGGAAAAAATATATATGATGTAATTAGTTATTAGTAGTTAGGAAAACGTATATATAAAAAAAAACAATATTTTGCCAGAAAATATTTTTTTTTATTTCAGTTCCATATATGGTACACTGTGCCTTAACTATACTATTTGGTACTGAACTACAATAAACGTAATAATTAGGAAACAGTATCTTATATTAATTATCACGAGCTTTTTTATTTTATAATTATTAACATAATAAAGATGTACATTACAAAGTCTGAAAGAAAATGAAATAAGAAACAATTATGTTTAAAAAAGCTACTTATGAAAGTTTCAGAAACAATAATTATATTTATTCAGGCAAAGTTCTGCGTGACAATTGTCACAAGAAATAAAGTCTTCCTTTGCAGCCAGGATATTTATATCTTTGTCTTTTTTCACCCCAGACCGGAAAATGCTCAAACCCTTTACGTCTGACGTCACGAGGAAGTAGGATTGCAGTATTGGGCTTCTTTCTTTTCTTCTCAATTTCTTCAGATGCAGAAGCCCAAACATACATAAATTTTTGCCTACCTCAAATTTGAACTTCTTTTGTTTTAGTGCAACTCGCGTATTATTCTGTCCCCCAACTCTTTTGTACAATAACCAGCTATTGATCAAAGAAATATCAAGAAGATGATAATATAGTATCAAGCACAAAACATATCGTAGGGGTGTTTCAATGTGTATAATTGGTGACTGTAAACTTGTGTCTCCAGTAAACGGAAAATGAGTTGAATGAAAAGTTGTTTTTCTCCAAATGAATCTCCTTTTATTTCTTATGGCAACAGACATAGAACCAAGGGTTTTAGTTGATGATCCCCCAAATGCCCGTGATTGTGTTTGTAGTTGTCCCTGTTGGCTAGGCTGCAGGTCTGATATTTCAGGCCTTCACAACATGAACATCCTCGTTGGCAGGAAACAAATATAGTCTTTGCGGCGGTAATGAAGTTTCCTCGTCGTTAAGTGGTTTCTATACTCAGCTTTTGGAATAACTGACTTCCAGCGTCAGAAAATCCTCCTCATGTTCACAGAAATCAGTGAAGAAATCTTATAAAACACATAACATAATCTATAAAAGACAATTAAATAATAGTAATTATTTGTCGTAAGTACGAAATAGTAAAACGAGCACGAAAGCTCAACGTACCGTATGTGGCACATAGATAAAATGACGATTTCTAATACTATTACTACAGTAATATAAAAAAATAACTTACCTCTGCATAATATACCTCCCTTATTTGTGACTTATTTTTTTGGACTGAGAACTATGCGATTACTGTTTTTTAGAAATCGGTGAAATCATGAGAGGGGTTAACGTAAAAATTTTACTCAAATTTTTTGTCAAACTATCTACACAGTAATCAGTGGCAACATTTATGCGCAATGCTTTGTATTATTTTGTTGCTAAATATCCAACGGTTGTGTTCGGGTTGATTATAAATGTCGCTGCACGTTTTTCATCGCTGTAGGGACGATATAAATGATTGTCCCACATGTGGTACTGGGGGCCTTGTAGGGTTAATTCTAGCCAAACGATATGTGGCTATACCACCAGTAAGACAGTAAAAAGACTACATCAGTTAATGGAAAATTTATTTGTATATCTGCCAATGAAATAAGAAGCTCTTAAAAGAACTATTTTAACGTCACTGTCCGTATAAAACAAAGGAGAAAGCAACGCAACAAGTGCGTGTCAACAGCTGCGCGCCACAACATGTCAACCTTCCGCAGCGCAGTCACCCGCACGCTCACCCGACGCCTGGCAAAAAGGATCTCGAGGACGTAATCCTTAAACGACACGACATCGAACACTCGAAGAACTACGTGATCCTGTTTCGAAACGCATTTTTCTCCTGCAAGAAAAACTTTCACAAGATGGCAAACACGGAAGCAAACCCACCGTCGCCGTCCACATCAAACGAAATCTCCAGCGTCGCACTCCCACTCCGCATACCACCATTCTGGCGCGATAAACCACGATTGTGGTTCGCCGTTTTTGAAGCTGCAGTTAATGAGCTTCATAAAAACGAAGCCCAGAAGGCGCAGATGGTCATCGCCCAGCTAAACAAGGAAGATGTCGAGCAAATCTGCGACCTACTTCACAGGACGCGGTACACTGCATTCCCGTCTCACTCACGCAACCGCTTCAGAGACAGATCCCCATCTCGCTCCCGCCATCGTTCGACACAAAACAGCCGATCACCATCGCCGTTTTGCTTTTACCACCAGCGCTTCGGATATCAAGCAAAACGATGGACGACACCCTGCACATATTACAAGAAGTCGGAAAACTAAAACGAACGCTGGCAGCGGCGGAAACCGGCGTTCCCGAACATTCATACCGCCTTATCGTTACCGACAAGAAAACGAATTTAAGTTTACTGGTCGACACCGGAGCGAACATTTCGGTGCTACCTCGAACAAAAGGCCAACGAAAATCAACGTGCATCATTACATTAAAACAACAGGCCCACCTCTTCACTGCCGTGCACGTCCAATACCACCACATCGTTATCAGGCAGTGAAGAAAGAATTCGCGAACATGATGCAGGAAGGCTTATGCAGACCTAGAATTAGTAAAGAAACGTAGGCAACTAAAGGAAAAATGACATCTACTTTTAATTAGAATTTATTATATACTTTTAATTCATTCAGCTCTTAATGCGTACAGAGTAGACTAAGGAACAAACAACTAACGTCATCGAATAGGCTTTGTTAGTCCTATAAGATAATGGATTTACCAAACTCATTTGTTAGCTTTTCAGTGGTCCAAAACACCATCAGTCAAGGTATAAGACTTACCCACAAGCTCGTGAAAACTCGTCTTTGTGTCCTCCTCTACAATATTCCACACTCGCCGATAATCTTCACATATAGTGGGCTCTTCTTTGTTTATATCTTTATCATCTAGATCCAGTGTTCTATAGTACAAAATAATAAGCAGATTTGTAGGTCCTATGATGGGTGTATCTATGGACGTATCGATGGGCGTATCGCATACCTTACCCTGAGATACTCTGTACTCTGAAATGGGACTCAAACCATCGACCTTTTCCAATCTGGGCGACTGCTCTAAATATTTAGATATCTAGGATCAGCAAAGGTCGTGGGTTCGATTCCCATCTCAGGGTACCTCGAGGCAAAGTTGATTTTTTAAGCATTTTTCATTAAGAATATTTTGCAATATAGTATTGTGAATGCAAAATAGCTCAAATATAATGAACATCGAACTTTCCATTGTAATGATTGAATGAGAGAGAAAAATAAAAATATTATTATTCAATTTTTATTTTATTTCTTTTTCGAATTTTTTTATTTTTATTCTAACTGTCAATTCTGTAATGCATTTTGTAATATATATATATATATTTTGTTGTTGTAATCTTTCAAGTGTAGAAAAAGATCTTGCCAGTCTGAGAATAAGAACAAATTTTAATAGAAAGTTTAAAATATTTGTTATTATGATATTTCTTTCGGCTGTTTGGCTGGATTGCCTGAACATTGATGAAAAAGAAAAATGTGCCTCAAAGATTGGTCATTCCTATAAGGTCCTGGATAGCTTAGTGGTTGAGCAGTCGAGTGCGATAGGTCGTGGGTTCGAGTCCCATCTTAGAATACCTCAGGGCAAAGTGTATTTTTTAAGCATTTTTCATTAAGAATATTGTGAATGCATAGGGTGAGGTGACGAAAAAAGAAATAATTAGCTGAAATTGCTTGTTTATACGCTAACGATGTGATTTTGTGGTCTGAAAAAAAAAACTCGAAATTTAAGTCGATTGTTACGCTACTCTTCGCGACACGGTACGGTACAGGGCCTCTGGTCCTAGGGGACTCGAAATGGCTGCCCTTGATGAAATCGTAAATAAGGGTTGGAGGCCCCGTAGACAAATAAGTACAGCCTTTAGCGGTAGTTAAAATTTTTAATTGAAATTATTTTTAGTGCCTTATCTTTGTAATGTCCAATTTTGTAGTTTTTCTACTTTCTTAAAATACTACAGCCATCCGTCAAAATTGGAAAAAGTTGTCGCCGCCCCGGTCCTCTGATGGAGTTACTCCGCCCTAACATACATGTGTTTGGAAATCTATTATTCTTTTTAGATGCAAACTACATTCCTTATTATTTTACCTCAGAGCATTCTTCAAAAGTTGGTCTTTGTATTTTTTATGTTCTTCTTCGAAATATTCTTGCAAACGAATAAAGGACTTCAAGCAGCAGTCGTTTGGAATATCTGAAAAGTGAAATATTACTTGTTAATGCACTTCACTATAAGTGATTCGTAATAAGTAGGTGAATATTGCATTTTGATTATCAGCAATAAAACTCACCATATATAATTTCTACTTTTATACTTTTTGCCAAGGAAAAATTGGTGACGATGTCTCTTATTACTGCTATGGTTGAAATATTGTCCGTTGTAAAAACCGCACTTCCTCGTCTGCAAAGAAAATGCAGAATTAACTAGTATTTATATTTTAGGAATTCCTATCACTAGACAAGACAAACAACTGTAAAAGTAAAACTTTTTTTATTCTATTAATTAATTTTTGTTTTCTATTAAACTTAATTATTGATAATAATTAGGGTGGATCCAGCCTTCAAAAAAAGGAATGAAAATAAAACGCAACCTTACAACTTTATTGGGGTTGTGGCCATGTTTTGCTGAGAATACAACGATCTACATTTAACTTCTAGCCGTATCTATTAATCAATCAAAAATAAATTAATTAAAAAGTAGGATTGTTATTTACCGGTATTGACATATTAGAATAGTCTTCAATAACGTATGTGATCGAGCGAAAATGATATTAGTTGAAGGCCGTGGAAGATCTCCTGGTAGGATTTCGGTAAGCCATGACGTCATTTCAGCAACAGAAAAACTTCCAGTAATCGACATCTGGGACCAAGATCTAATAGAAATGGAAGATTAAAAGATAAGATGTTGTTGTGGTGATGTTATCTATTATGGTGATTTAAAGTCTTTTTTTACCTTTGTTCGTTTCCTACATCATGGCTTTCATGCTGCGAATAGTATGGAAGGGCAGGCAGTCGTACTATAAGGAGACGTGCTACCCTTGGAGCACCCACGGGTAATGCGTAAATTAATACTTTAACTAATTCTGAAATTCTCATGATTGTGCTGGCATTATAGCGCATATGCACCCAAAGGCGTTTAGTGCCTGCCTGGCACCTTACCGTGGCTAGTAAATCTTGATTTGTAGCCTGTTAAAAAAAGTCGGCCGTATTAAATTGGGCCAATAACTTCAATTCAGTAATGATTTGATTCAGAGCTTAAGTATTAAGCAATACAAACAAAAACCGTGAATAAACATTTACAATATTATATTCAGAGAAATCTCAGAGTTTAGAAAATTGGTACTTTAATTAATTAACTGAGAGTGATCGTTATATAGAAGCACTTGATTCTAACAAAAAATAATAAGTTTTAAATGTTATTTCAAGTCACATAAAACCTCCAATAGTTTATAAATTCAGCAGTGGTGACACAACAGGCAGGCATGGCGAGTATGGAGACACCAGGAAACTTTAAAAGATTACGGAATCCCAAAAGCGATGGATAAAACGTAGTCAAAAATATACCTGAGAAGAACATATACTGAGCACTGCAGCACTGTCAGTTTTCATATCCAATTTTCGTCCACAATATACAAATAACATGTCTAAAGGAACCGCAGAAGTCAACGTAACCTCTTGCCAGCCATCTTGCATAGCGCTCGTTAACTGTAAAAATTAAAACAATCAAAACATCACTTTAATAATACCTCCTGTGTTCATAAATTTTGAGACGAAATAAAAGTTGCGTAACTTTTTAAAATTCTCAGTACCCATTATATAGATAATAATCAACAATAAAATCGCCCTTGTTTAACGTAAATACAGGCCCTTAAACGATTTGGCCAGTCATCAATGGTGGCACGAATCTTTTTTAGCGGAATTCGCTTTGCTTCTAGATCGAGGGTTCACTTCAGTGACTCCAAGTTTGGATGGAATTTTCGGCTGGCCCTTAGCTATTCAGTCCATTAAGAATAATCCAGCGGGTTGAGGTCGGGGCTGGAGGAGGGCCACACAAAAACGCAATCCCTATTGTGAAATAACGTATGGGACAGGGGTTTCACCACGGGTTCTAAATGGCACTCTGATAATTCTTGGTTTTCACCTTCACACTTTGTTGGCAGAAATGGAGCGGAGTGACACCTTCATATGAAACTCTCCACCATACCATCACACTAGCCGGATGATGAGTGCGCGAGACATTCCGTGCAGAAGCTGTGACATCCTTGCTACTTTTAGCGTATACTTTATTATCTCGTATCATGTCTCCTCAGCAGCAATGGACGACGTTCGCGTCGTAACTTACGAAGACGATCGTTTAAAAAGTGAACTTTTCTACGGCTATAGGCTTTTACTTTAAGATCATAATGCAGTATTCTGTTTATTGAAACGCGCGATATATTAGTCTAAGAGCGAGTTTCTTCTGAGTGCGACAAGGATTTCGATAAAGTCGCTCTCGAATGATTTTGGTGTCCACAGGCGTCCTCAAAAAACTTGTCTCTTTGTTACGACTTACAGAAACACCTTTTAGCTCGTGCAAAAGCTGCATGGGTTTTTTCCCCGCCTTAAATAGCGAAATGACAGTTGTTTCATTCCCTCCATTACAAGAAAATATAATCAAATGAATTTGCGATAAAGTTAACATTTCAAATTCAAAATCAGTAAAAAAATAACAGCCAGTAACACAGAATGTCGGGTTATTTCCATTTTACCTAAATTACGTAAGTAGTAGCTATTTCACTTGGAATCTGAGCAATAGATGTGATGTAATTTATTATTATTTTTTATATTTACCTCGCATTGAATGTCTAGAAGTGGTGGAGCTGATAACCCGGCCTGTAATGATCGAGTACTCCGTTGATATTTCTCTCGTTCGTTGGCTGTCTGTTTTTCCAAACGAGCGATTTCTATTCTGTTATAAAAAAATGTCAAAGGTTTATAAGATACTAGCTTTTGCCTGCGACTTCGTCCGCGTGATATAGTTACTTTGGGCATTATTTTTTCCAAAAACGCTGTTGTTTTTTGAGCTGATGATGAAATTACCTTGATGTTTAAGTTCGAAGATAGTATAACAAAATACCAACAATCCAATATGTTTCAGCACTTTATCTTTGAAACTTTAGAGATATTAATCCAATTCAATGCAATTTGAAATAAAGATGAAAAAAATTCAGTTCTGAAGTTTCCACAAAACTTAATCGAAAACGTATTCTACGCAAAATTCTTTGAAATAAACGTAACCGCAGATTACTTTAGAATAAACTCCATCTAGAACAAATCACCATCTATTGGGTGTTACCGCAGATAACTTTAGAATAAATGCCATCTAGAATACAGCTCCATCTATTGGGTGTATTTGCAACCTAGATGTCAAACGATATTGAAGAATTTTATCTATGAATCAACGTACACCGCCATCTATGAGAACTTCATAAAACTAAAAGTAAATAAAAACTTGCTTAAGAACATTTTATTCGTTTACATTCACGACATAAGCGAATAATTGAGATGATAACTATCCTATCCAGTAAGTTAGACCAAAATACGGCTACATGTGAAATTTGATAGAAATCGGTTCAGTAGTTTTGGAGTTTATTGGCAACATACATCGTCACACAAAATTTTTATATATATAGATTATACTTAATGAATTACGCGCTTTTTTTTTCTTTATCAATACATATATAAGAAGAGATGTTCTGACATACTGACTGACACACAAAGCACAGCCTAAACCGCTTGTCGTAGAGACTTGAAATTGGTAGGGTACATACATTCGTCTTATTACATAGAGGTGTAGTAAGAAAGAATTTTCGGAAATTCCACCAGAGTGTATGAAGGAGGTCAAAAAGGGTGAAGATTAGTAGGTACATAATTGATAACAAAAATAACATTTTAGATAAAAATATTTGAAAATATTCAAGTAGAAATTATTTTATATACGAAATAAAACACAAACAAAGAAAAAAAGGCGTTAAATATATTTCTAAATGGCATTGTTCTGACCAAGGTTAAGTAACTTTTTTTATAATTTAATATGTAATGTAATTGTCTTCGTGATATAATTGATTAATATTAATTGTTAAAATATTCTGCTTGACATTGTTGGATTATTTAATCTCCTTGACATTGTTATTGTGATTTGACTAGTATGATTTAGACCTTAGTATTTAATTTTTAATAAATAGTTTTAAGGTTCTCAGAGATAAAGTACTGAAACCTTAGATTTGAAACATATTGGACATTAGTCGGTTAATTGCACGTGTAGCTGTTGCTGTACCTTAAATAAATAACTATAGCTTTTTGGTGTAGTGTCTTTGAAGTAATTTTATTCTAATATCACGAATATTTTGCTATTGATAAAATTAATAATTCGGTTAATTGCACGTGTAGCTGTTGCTGTACCTTAAATAAATAACTATAGCTTTTTGTTGTAGCGTCTTTGAAGTAATTTTATTCTAATATCACGAATATTTTGCTATTGATAAAATTAATAATTCGGTTAATTGCACGTGTAGCTGTTGCTGTACCTTAAATAAATAACTATAGCTTTTTGTTGTAGTGTCTTTGAAGTAATTTTATTCTAATATCACGAATATTTTGCTATTGATAAAATTAATAATTCGGTTAATTGCACGTGTAGCTGTTGCTGCACCTTAAATAAATAACTATATATAACTATAGCTTTATATAACTATAGCGTTATAAATAACTATAGCTTTTTGTTGTAGTGTCTTTGAAGTAATTTTATTCTAATATCACGAATATTTTGCTATTGATAAAATTAATAATTTTGTACCGTATCGTGATTCTTGACAGTTAACCGGTTCCCTGGGCTTTGTAAAGCCGCACTGTAGAAGGACCTTGTAATGCTTATTCAGCTGATTGACATTTATCCGTGCAAATGAATGGCGATATTTTATTATAATGAATAATGAATGGATATATTCAATAAATACGAGTATTTATCCTCAATGTTGTTTTCATTAGTTAACACAAAATTTCCTCAATTTAAACTACGAAAAAAACGCTATTTATTTTGGTAACTGTCTAGTAATATCTTATTATATGATATACCTAATGAGCGACAAAGATAATCGTTTAATTATTCCAAACTAATATTACCTATAGGCATAGTGAAAGTAGGTCTGTGTATGTCTGTTAAGTTCTCACGCCTAACCCACAAAAATAGTTGACTTGATATAGGACATTGATTGCTTTTTATAAAAACGTCACCCAAGTATTTTCCTTCCGCGGGGCGACTCCTCTACTGAAGGGTGGACCCTTCAGTAGAGGAGGCCCAGCGCGGCGGAAGAAACCGCACCCTCTTAGCTGAATACCAGGTTTTTCCTATCTGTGTGAGGTGAACCACAGCGGGTTTTACCAGGTAGGTCTTCCACATTAACCTTAACATTAACATTTCCCCTGCGATATTAAAAAAGGATGGAAATACTAACTCTAATTTCGATCTTCTTGACGCAAGTGCTTCTCGAGGAACATTTGCTAAAGGATGGGCACCCGATGCGTATCGATGTGATCGCAGAGAAAATATTCTTCCAGAAAAAGTACTCGCTAATAATTCGCTTTCTTCAGACCCTATACAACCTCCGGCTACAGAAGTTACAGGCTCCCCACAAAACTATAATGAACAAAATTATTATGATAAATTACACACAGAACGTAATAATATTAATTATATGGATAAAGTAGCAAAACGCATTACTTACATATGTATACTTCAAACGTGGCTTTTCTGTGATGTTTTCTAAGTCTATAAGGTAAAGTTGTATAGAGCCATCATGGCGACCGACAGCAAGATGAATACCATTACTACTGAAGAACCATCCTATACATACCACCGAACCCAAACCACGCCCTTCCATCAAGCACTTGTTGGTTAGCACAGAACTGAAAATTTGGAAATAAAGCTTGATATCTGAAGGTAGCATGAGAATGGTAGCATGAAAAAGGTAGCAATTTGTGAAAGTTTAACTATTTTTACAAGGTATTTTATTTTTATTGTAATATAGTAAGTGCATATCTGATTATATACAAATTAGGTTGGGAAAAAGTTTTTTGCATAAAGATAATGTGCATAAACTTGTAATAAAATCTTTCTTTCTATACCATTTGTAACTGGCTGGTATAGGTATCATGAAAAATGTTAAATTCTAAAGAAATTAACTCTGAATTCAAATAAGGAAAATGTGTGATTTCATTTATTTTTCTTACTGTCAATATTAGTGAATCCTGCCATATTAAAAAAAAATGAGTGAATCTAATGAAGAAATTCGATACATTATAAAATTTTATTCCAAAAAAAGGTAAATTTGGTTTAAGCGTTTTCAGTCCGAAAATTTTGAACTCAAAGATACGAGTCGTTTCGGTCGCCGTGTTACGGATAAAATGAATGCCATTTTTGAAAAATTGGAGCAAGATCGGCATATCAGTAGTTACGACGTAGCTGAAGAACTGAGAACTGAGTTTTGGCACATTTGAAAAAGCTGGGTACAAAAACGTCGTGGCCAAAGGTCGGTCAGGCTTCATAGACTGTGGCGAAACCCGGGTTAACTCGCAACAAGGTTTTGCTGTGCATCAACTTGTTACGAGTTAACCCGGGTATATGGTGGGATTGGAAGGGCCAGGTCTTTACCCAAGGTGCTGGGGGTGCAATGCACCCGGGCATTGAAAAAAATGTATGAAAACTAATACACGCCCGCTTCAGTCATAAGTACGCAAATCTTTACTAAATTTACAATGTGGGTGCGGAACATATTATAATAATATCTATTTATATAAGGCAGCCGTTTACTTGTATGGCTAACCTTTTAATTGGGCGATGTTTTTAAATAACTTGGCTAAAAATAGCTAAGCTATGTTATCTAACACTGTTGGATTTATCTACAAAGCTATAAATGAATCGCATTGTTGTTGTGTTGACTTGACTACCACGTTGTCGTAAACGGTTGCGACATGTATATGTTATTTTTGATAATACATACTCATCGTAAATTATAAGACCAATGCAGCCATCCACAGCTCCATAAAATGAATATATATCATTAAAGTGATGAACTGGAGGAACAGCTAGCCGACAAGGACCCGATGAAATTGTCGCTTGTGCAATTAATTGACCACCCTCCAAAATCACGGCACCTTTGTTGGCCACTAAAGCTAGAAGACGTATTCGGGTACTCTATAGAATTAAAATGCAGATTAAAGCTTAGAAATGGTAACACAACTAAATATTTGAAACATTTATGTTATATTTATTTAAAACTATCAAATTACAAATGTTTTATTACTTACGTTCGCGGAAGTGAATGCTGCAATATCAAGGACTCTATCTTCGCACACAAAAGTGTTCAGCTCCTTTAAATCTCTATAACATGTTATAGTTCGACCACTACAGAGAATTAAATCTCCTCCAACGACACACCTTGAACCATAGAAGCTAATAAAAATACAAAAATCTGTATACAACTAATCCAAACCTTTTTCTCTTCAAAAGGGTTTTAGCCTTCCATTCAAAGACATTTATGTTTCAGACGTAGACTGAAGGACTATGCTGTGCCATATTAAATTCCAGATATTTGATATATGGAGATCTGTTTAAGTATGTAATTGCATAGCCCTTTGATTGAATGACGGCAATTATTGGACGCCTAATTTCATAGATGATTAATTTCATTATGTATGACTACGTTTTTCACAAACTATACAGGGTGTATACATTAAGAACGGTCAACATGGGAAAGTATGAAACTATAAGACGTAGGAAGATCTATTCATAAGAACCATGCCAACAAACAAAATAATCCTGGCATGCGATTTAATAATCCTGTTTGGATTTATATGGCTACTATAATAGTTTCAGAATATGCCACTGCACTTAAATCAGCATACGTGAATCCTGTTTTTAATCAGGTGCGCTTACTCCTACAATATGGACTTATATTGGTATATAGGATCACAATTCATGGCTACTATTGGACTAAACCTCCTATAAAAGCATGTATTAAGAGTAATTACTCTCAAGAGGGACTACTCCGATAACTCAGACTTATATGCGCATATAAGACAACGCTTTAAGCCCATTTGCGCTGGGCAAAAATGCACTTTATACGGGTTTGTCATATGCCGATATAACCCAAGGTAGATTTATATGGGTATTTCATAGTAGTGCTATTGTCTAAGAAATCTTCAAACAATCCTGGCTAGAACTCTTTAAAGGCCTTTTTCTGGAAACAACTGATATAGTCAAAAACACGATTTGAATGGTTTCCCAAATCTTACTATAGGATTTGCGATCAGCCATTAAAATCACGATTGTTACTAAATATTTATCATAACAGAATCTACGATTTCCAGTGTGAGCCCCTGATGAGACAGTAATAATTGTAGAACCCTAATTGGTAACAACATGGCGAATTTGCTTTGGTGTTGGCACTTACCATTGTAGAACTAAATTAACTTTTATCAATCCTATATCATACTTGGAAAAGGTCACCCAAAAAACGGCGACTTTTCCTAACATTTTTTGATAAATAAATGAATACAAAAAGTGTTAATTTTTAAGAGGCGCTTTAATATTGTAATCGAAACCAAGATAAGGTTTACAGAAAATTCCAATTCCCCAGCAAATAGACAACAAAAATACTAAGAACAATAGGATATGTTTTTCTACTATGGTTGACAATATTTCTAGTTACCATATTAATAAATACCACCTTTGCTCAATCTTTTTAATTTTTTACATAACAATTTGACAAATCACTGAAACACTAGGTGCATACTTAGTAGAGGCATAGCTAGGCCCGAGTTAGTCTCACTTTTTACTATAGTGGATTTATATTGACATTTTCAGGTAAAAGTACAATTGTGTAATCCCTATATAGGAGCCATTTGATCAAAAGTGGGATGGCTGCGGCCTGATATAATCGCGCTGTAAGCAAGGGTGTACTTATAAAGTGGGCCCTTTTCCGGGGTTATATGCAGATTATATGCTCAAGAAATAATGGTTCTAGGATAGTTTAAAAACCGCTTTTGGCTGGTTGGGATATCATTAATTATAGTGAAAAGAGAAAAGGAATAAGTAAAATTAATAAAATGTATTTTTTCTTACAACATTCAACTTGTTTAGGTGCGTAAAGTTGTCTCTATCGTTGTTTGTTTCATTTTAGACATTATGTTTCATCTATCAACTAGTTATTTTAACTGACTTCAAAAAGGGAAGTTCTCAGTTTGACCTGTATGTATGTTTGTGCACGATTATCTCGCGTTTGGCTGAACCGATTTTGACGCGTTAGTATTTTACCTATTCTATAAAAAATATCAATATCACTAAAAAGTATGAAATAAAACCTTAAAAAATAACAGACTTCAAACCTAAGAAAGCGAAAAATAATTCTTATCTCACGACTTATTCAAGACAATGCTATTGAAGTCAGGCGCCGATCATATAATAAGGAAGTATTAAAGAAAATAGTTCCTGAAATCAAACTAGATCACGGTACGTTCTTGATTTCTCCATGACAACCCTTCCGGTTTTCTTTCTTGTTTAAATGTAAATTAGTTTTCAAAACTCAGTAAGCAACTCATATTCTATTTGTAATTTTTCGTATTTGTATTGATAACTAAGTTTTCAAAGTTCAGTTTTTTAATATGTTAGTTATAAGGAATGGAAATGACTGTCTTTGGTCTATTCGTTTCCTGCATTTAGTGGAGGTGCTTTTTTAGTGCTTTCTTTTTTTTTTAACTACTTCCTTATTAATAACCCACAGAAAGCCTCCACTCGATTTTAATAGCATTTTCTTGAATAAGTCGCTTTTGAGATTTTTAACCTTTTTGTCTGTTCTATTTTTTATTTTTTTTAGAATGTATGCTTGCAGTTTTCCTTTTCACTAAAATCAATAACATGGTTTTTAAGAACATGAGTCAGATCTTCGTATGTTTTATAGTTACAAACTTTCCCATACTAACCGTTTTTAATGTTACATTCTGTATATTATGGATGATAAGTTGTTATACGTAGTACCCACAAAAAATAGTTTACTTTGAATGACGTTTATAAAAATCTATTTACTGATTATACTCGTCTTAATACTGGCGCCAGAGTTTTGAAGCATGAGTATGACTAGATAATATAAAATTTGGGAGAACAATTGTACTTTTATATTTTTACAGATACATACAATAGCATATCAGGGTTAGGTACCACGAAATGTTTAATGTCTGCAATCGATCTAACTTCTAATTTCAAACAATATCAAGTGGAATAGTTAAAGTGCTCCTCCACGCACGCACCAGCCGCATGTCACGCAATGCATTGCAGGGATTTCTCGATGTCATACGTCCACTGCTGTCGCATTTTTCATAGACGCTTCTAAGCAAAAATGCGACTATCATCATTACAACTATCATCATAAATTTTTAATATAATCCGTTGCATGCGTGCGTGCGTGAGAGATGACGTATGGACGTTCACCTTAAGACTGTTTTGTTTAATTGGGCGTGTTGAGGACTGTATTAACAAGTTGTAAACTTCTATACCCGATTAGTATACACGTGGTGTACCTAGTTACAAATAAACTGTTTGGACTACGTAAATATTTTTTTTAGTGGATAAAAAAGCAGTCCTTGCGTGTGTTGCTTGCTATTCTCAGTGTAATATCTCCCATCATTGGCATATAATTTCGACTTTCTAAGTACTAGTAAGGTAGATCGAGTAAATAATTTTGATTTCTTTTTTTCTACTGCCCTTAACTCCATAGTTTGTACATACATAGACGTGATTGTTTCAGAGACCGATGTTTCGATTGTCAGAAACACTTTCCCTTTTCTTGTGTATCCTTTGACTTCATTTCCCGATGCAGCAAATATTTTATCTGTTTGTGAACCTAAAACAAAAAATCTTTAATTCAAATGAAGTTCAAAGGGTCATATGAAGCATATCATACATTAATATTATGTAAAACCTATCACGCATACCTAAAAGTAATTTTTTACACTGTTTCTTTTTTTGGCTACAAGAATTAACTTTTGGGAAGGAGGAGGTAGGTCGCATAACACAAATTAGATAGCAGCCACAAGGAGGTCTACACTGCTGCATTGGTTGAGAAAAGAAAAAGAGAAAAAAATATACCTATATTAACAGCACGACTTCAGTAGAAAGTTATTTAATATTATTAACGTCCATAAAAATAGTAATTTAATTAGTTCCATTTTGATCCTTCAATTTTGGTGTGTTTATCAACTGGTATCAACTTACCAGAAACGGAAGCAAGTTGTACAGAAGTAATCGGTTTTCCGGGTAATGTTTTGAATTGAACGATTGGCTCCTCATCCTTAATACCCAAGCATTGTAAAACACCATTTTTATCTCCAATAACAAACTGAAAAAGCAAAAAAAAAATCACTAATAGAGAGACGGATTTTAGACAACATAGTTTTATTATTTATTGATTCTTAAGTTTTACACTTAAAAGTAATATTTATTACCTTCTGTTGTGACTTAGGTCCAGAGACTGGTAATACTTTTAATGTATCAGGGAATGTTATTCCAGTAATAGTATAGTCAATTCGTGTTAAATCGTATTCCATATTGCGAATAATATAAATAAGATTTGTTAATATTGTCTTAGCTCTGGTATATTACTCTACTACTTAATAATACTGTGAAATTGATGGTGTTTGACTGTATTTGTGTGTTTGACATCTACTTATACACAAATCGATAAAACCACGGTAACGAAAAATGCGTCAACAAAAAAAAAAGCATTAGTTTTATACAAATGGGTGAAGCTACTTTTTACATTTAGTAACTAGTAATTTATTGATAATTATCTACATCTAGCTTACTTATCTTCCCTTGTTATAGGAATAGCAAAGTAAGTGATGTTTTGTTTCTTTAACAATGTCGACATTTATTATGTATGTCTTACAGCCGGTTTCTACAAAATCTCGACTCATTCTCAATAACATATCTTTTTTACTTCTCACAAGGTAAAAAGTCCTAGTTTTTATCAAACTGTTATCATCTACCTACTGATAATTAAAAAACTAAATTCAGAAACGACCTGTGTAACTAACCTGTTTAACTACAGTTTGAGACGTGCTTAACTTTAAATACTCAATTCAGAAACTAGGTGTAGGGGGAGTCTGGAGACTTGCCCAGATGGGAGAGTTGAACCACTTCTCAAAATTCAACGTAATTTGCAAGCTAATGAAACATTAACACAGTCGTAGATCATGTATGGAAGATCAATAATGTGTGTGTCACTATTGCACAAAATGTCTGGTTTGTTTAGTTTTTAAGTTGCGGAAAGTGTTTTGGTCACTACAAAATAAATTTTAAATAATTAGTAGTTTTGAGATATTGGCCGTGTTTATCGATGTAAGTATTGTGTATTATTTTTATCGTGCTTGCTGATTATTCTATTTTGAAGTTTGTTAATTTTTTTTTAACAGTAATTTAATACCTTTTCTGCAATGAATATTTTATGTCGAAGTGATGTATGCGGGAGAGTTGAACCACTGTTCTTGTTGAAGACATCAGTGGTTAATTATACCATCTGTGGTGAAGATTTTTCTGCCATAATACTACTTGCACTCAATTCAATATTATAAATGTTAATAAAACAAGTGAACAGAAGGCAAATAACATTTAGAATAGTTTTTATAATTTTTGAGAATAACGATAAGTACTTATCAATTCCAAATAATAAATATATGAAAGCAAAACTACGCAAAAGACTCTAATAGAAAGATGATACTAAAAAAATAAACAGAAATTATTAAAACCCCTGATAATGAGTTTCCTCAGACTTTTGATCATATGTCCCTCATAGTGGAGAGAGTTGATCCATTTCCCATTTTTACTTCAAATCGGCTTAGCAATTTACAGTATTTAAATATTTAAAAAGTAATGATGCAAAAACAAGTCTATATAAATTGCACATGAATTAAAATTATATTCTAGTCTCTTCGACAAATCTATACGAAGATATGATAATTCAAGTAAAAAGAGGTTCAAGTCTCCGGACTTCCCCTAAATGTCATGAAGGGTGTGGGCTATATAAGTTACTTTATGGGTGTGGGCATAAGATATACATACAGGTATTAATACCCGCAAATTGCTAATGCGTCTGGCCGCCATTTAAATGACGTAATTGCGTTCAAGAATCAGTATCGTTAACAAATAATAGTAGTTGACGTGTACATTTATTGAGTTGGATTGTGTTGAGATCACCTATAATTATTGTTATGTTTTTGGTGATCTCGATTGTTTTTGTAAAGTTTTATTATTACTTGTTATGATTGTAAAAGAGTTACTGCTATTGTATATTATATGATTGATTTCACTGATAATAAATATCTCTCATTCCGTTATTGCTTCTGGTTATGTTTTAAAATATGACCCTTCCGTTTCTTTTCGCGTTATTACAAAATAAACGTAGTTTTATTTCATTTTATTTTATTTAGATATAATTTTTTTTTCTAAAAATGCATGCATTAAAATAACAAACTAAAAGTTATTAAGTTATTGTAACAATATTTTGGGGATTATTTATATGAATTTCAATAATTAATAAATAATTTATCTCTTGCCTTTTGTGCTATCTATACTTTCTATTTTCAAATAAAGTCACGCGGGTGTATTAAAGATTAAAATCATTAATTGTGCAAAAAAAATAGTTCACGATGCGTTGTGGCAATTGTAGAATCACCACATAACGAAATTCCTATTATGGCTCTAATGGATAAAGTTCACGACGCGTTGTGACATTCGCAGAATAACCATAACGAAATCCGTGTCGTGGCTAAAAAAAGCCACGACGCGTTCTGAGTATTGATTGGGCTCAACTAGCTGTTTCCTTATACAATAGCGTTTCGGCTCTGCCATTTCGCCCGCGGTTGCCACGGCAAGCTCGCTATACTCGCTCGGTTCATGCGTTGTCATACTCTTACTTAACCTAACCTAATGAAATATGGTTCAATACGCTTAATGGTTTTTCTGCATTGCTACAACACGTTGTGGTCATGTTGTCAAGCCACGACACCGATTTCGTTACGTGGTTATTCTGTGAACGTGAACGTGTCGTGAGCATTTCCACAGGAGCTATAACACTAATTTAGCTATTATCTACATTTAACAATGACCACAACGCACAAATTTTTCACTCAATGAGAGATTTCGATATTTGAACGTTACATCTACACCAATGTCATATTTTACGGAAGATATAATTTAGGGGGCGAACTCGAGTAAAGCGACATTTCTTCATCAGGAAAAAGCAATTGAATTCTATTAAAGATATGCTCATAACTTTCATAATGAATTAAACTTCATCGAAAGACATCACGTCGCCAGCCATAACCTTATTAATGTCCTTACTGTTGCAATCGAACAGGGAGAAAGGACCATGGGATGAAATGGTATTCATAGGTGTTAAAAACTGCAGATGCAGCAGGGGCGGAGAAGATAATAAATTTATGGTATAATTTATGATAGGCCCTGCGAAAAATGCTTAACGACCGTATCGCAGACCGAGCTTTAATAAAGCATTGCATGAAAATTTTCTTACGTTAAGTGAGCATTAAGTTCATGCTGACGTAAAATAGGCTAGGTTTACCTAGGACTGTGGCTGTATATAATTTATCCCGTTGTCATTTATTTAAAAGTGCACACTACCACCTTTTATTGCCACATCACCCATGTCAAAGACTACAGTGTACTGACCATGAAGGTAAAGTAAAAGAACTTTAGCTTCATGGTATTGACCCATGTGGTTGACTGATAGAAAATGCCTAAGGCATTAAGTCCGCCAAAGTAATATGTACATGAAGTGTTAAATAAATAATAATAATGATATAAAATGACAAATTCTGAAATACATTTTGAACTTTCCATTCATTAATTTAAGTTTTTTTAATTATAAGTTTGACAGTTTAGTATTCTCTTCTTCTTTTTTTTTAATTAACAACTTATCTGCGCATTTCTGCCAATGTCAAGTAAATTAATTAATTTTTACGTGTAAAATGAATGACAGATGGCGATGATTTCGCTCACTGAATGGTACAGTGGCACAACTCAAAAATCATAATTTCGGGAAACGTTCTCCGAAGTTATGAAAATCTAATATATATATAATTATAAAAATCATTTTTTTTAGCATTTTATCGGCATTAACAGTTAAATCGTTTGTATTATATTATTACTGTTAAGTTTTTTATTTTTTTATCTATGGGATCATCACCAGCCCTTTTACGTCCCCACTGCAGGGGCTCAGGCCTTCCTCATGGATGGTTAAGGAGGATGGGGTATGATCCTCCACGCTGGCCCAATGCGGATTGGAGGGTATTAACGACTGCAAATGCAGCCAGGAACAACGGCTTAACGTGCCTTCCGAAGCACGGAGTAGCTCGAGATAATAATTTTTTGGTCACCCATCCCGTGACCGACCCTTGGGAAAGTTACTTAACGACAACAATCGCGGGCCGCGGCGCTTATCCACTACGCCACTGAGCTACTATATATACATAATGAGCTACTTCTACGCCACCGAGCTATTTCTACGCCACCGAGCTACTATCTATGGGATGCCACCACAATAATGTGGCGTTTTCTCGAAATAATGGTGGAGCGATTTGTCAAAACAATACTTGTCCCTTCCTGACATGCTTGTTGTTGATTGACAATGGCTATATATGCCAAGCTCCCTTTCAAGGAACACCCTTCGTTTTTCCTTTACGGAAAATCTACCAAAAAAAAATGTTTTCGATTGTACACGTAAGTAACCTACGTGTCAAAGAGTGAAATGTACGATATATGAATCCCAAGTACATAATAGGGTATTTGACGCTTTTCTAAACTATTTTAAATGGTTGTTTGATACATTATTAATACACTGTCAATAATAATCTGTTCTATTTATGATGAAAATAATTTTTAAAATATCTATTAGGCTTTATATTTTAACACCACAAAATGTTAACAAGTTTTTAGTTCTCTCTGATTCACAAAGTGTATTGAATTTATTTAGATAAAGCTGTAAATATGATGTAAATTATTTAGTGTATTATATCAAACAAGTCTTATGTATCCTTAATTATTCAGATAAAACTGTACATTTTAAGGGGATACCTTCCAATATCCAGGCAGGGCTCAATGGATCAAACATCCTTTACCCGTCCCAAACAAGAGGGACAAATGAACCAAATAAATATAAACTCAAATCTATTTTTTTTCGGTAGATTTTTTCGTAAAAGAAATGCAAAGAGGTGTGTCATAGGTAATGAATAAGTATACACATAAATGATCAGCAATCTTCAAGTCATGTCAGTGTCATTCAGCTGATGCGCTAGTATTCTGATTCGAGTTAGAGAGAATTCAACTCGAGTTAAGCCCAACTCGAGTTGACACATCACTTAAAAATCCTCATTTTAATTTTTGTCAAAGGCTAATTTTACTATACTATATATATATGTATATAAGTTACTTTATGGCTAATATTATAAAAGAACATAAATACATACTAATATTATAAACTGTGTATATATATTTTTGTAGAACTCTTTTTGGCGGGAAGTCAAATTAGGCGGGTGTTTTAAATTTGTCTCCCAAAAGGTTTTTTAAATTCCATC